TAAACCCCAAAAAACAACGGCGACAAAAAAAAAAAAAAAAAAAAAAAAAACAAAAAAAAAACGGCATGTTTTAGCAGGGATAGTTGCCATGTCCACGGATCCTCGCGTTGTAATTTAGTGCTGCTGCCGCCACAGATATTTCGGTAGAACCGAGGCAACTAAGTGACCTACGCTTTCTTAGAGAATCGTGTTTCTTGTGGGAGCTGGCATTTCGGTACTTAGTGCAGAACGGACGCAAATTTGCTATCGTTACGATTCCAAACATATGCTATACTTCCCGAGCTTTGGATATGCTGTCGGGAAGTTATCGCTCTGTCGATTTTCAGATGTCACCGTAGGTAACTGGCAACAATGATATTTTTCGCCCTTAAAAAAGGCATTAAAAAATTCGAAGAGTCGTTTCTCCGAAGCGGAGCTTAATAGAGGGTTGCTCATGTTCGAACCAAACGCCACGGTTTCAGCACTAACCGTTATCTTATTATAAGTTATTTTCTGAAATTTTCAATGCGACAATGGGGCCCGTTTCTGGTAACTGGCGCGATAGAGCTCTGTGCTCTCGACAGCTCTGTCGGCGGTCGCCATTTTCCTATTGAAAGGTTCAGAAAATCGCGTAACGTTCGGATAATCTAACGGTTAGTGCCGCAATTTTGGCATGTGGTTCGGACCTCTCGCGCTACATTTAGGTGAAGAATGAGCGTTCGGCGACGCGCAAAGCATATTTGCGGTAACGAGACGATCTACCGTATGGCCCACTGTACCGCATCGGACGTGCAAAAACGGCTCCCTAAAACCCTGCTGGTTCCGTTAAACGATACCCGCGTTAAACCATCCGTTCGCGAGTGTACGGAAAGTACCGAGGCGTCCTTGCCTTTGCGGTGCCGGTAACCGGTTGGCCGATGGACGAGAATCGGGGGCAGCCGAAACAAGGGAGGCTACCTGGAGGAAGGGACCAGGATGATCTTCCGCAATATCTAAATGCTCCCTCGATTGACCCACTTGTCCCTCTCCCCCCTTTACTCCCACGACGGTGCCTCCCGCAGTTTACGAAAGTAAAGGCCCGTTTATGTCTTTGTTACGCGGGCACCGTTAAACGCTGTTAAGTCACCTTTAAACTGCAGTTACACTTCACCGGCGTTACCACACTGTAGGGGGTATTCATTTTACGCCATTTTTGGGCACGCTGTTTAGAGTGCATGCTCAGAACGAGTTCACAATAATAGGCTGCCGAGTCCGGCAATCTTGACGGTGCGGAACGCAACATCGGTTCTTGTAGCCAAACTTGTGTTTGACTACAACAACCGGTTGCAACAAGACCGGCCTCTTGTGACGGCAAACACAAGCGTATGAGCGGGCCTTCGGACTCCGTTATCTCAAAGCAAACGGCGAAAGAACTCTGCTTTAGGTTAGTGCCCCAAATTACGACCTTTCCACCACACTAGCAGTTCGAACGACCGTCCGTTAATCCTGAGAGAAAAGCAGAACAAATCGGCGATCGCTTGTTCGCGCTAATGCCGAGAGAAAGTCGTCTGCTTCTTGAGCTGCGGTGACGTCAAAATGACGCCGAGTTCTGATTGACTTTGATTGAAAGGATAGTCGGTAGACCTCAATGCTAGGTGCCTCGAGGTTTACCCACTATTTTTTAGAGCGTAGCTCTTAGGCGCCTGTTTCCGGCTTGAGTGGCGTCGCCGTCGGCGTAAGCGCGAGGTCACGTGACCCCCCCCCCCCCCAGATCACCCCAAGGTCACGTGACTCCCCAAGTCACGGAGGAGGGAAGTACCCTTCCCTCCTCCTCCTCAAGAGCTGCGCTCCAATTCGGCGTTACAGGGAGTTGTAAACGGCTTTAATTTTTTTCTTCTTCTTTCAATCAGGTAATAAGAGCTCGGCGTTCTGGCATCGTCGCAACCCCTGTGTAGGGAGCAGAGCAGACAAACTTTCGCTCCGCTATACGTCGAAGCCGTGCATTACCGGGCTTCGTACGAAGCGTGGTAACCAACTCAAAGAACAGCTTGGCAGGCGGTATGTCGCATTCGACCCGGGCTTCTAGCTTGCGATGAAGACAGTCGGGTAGCGTGAACGTGTCAGATTTGTGAGTGATAAAATAATATCGAAACGCGCCAATAGAGCAGCCGCTGGCAGAAGCCCGTTTTGTGAACGGTATAAAGTAATCACTTCTGGGGCCGCCACAATATTTCCAGGAGAACCATGATTGATGCAGACTGAAAAACCGATGACAAAAGAACGCTACGCGGATCGCTGACTTGTGTTTCAATAGAACAGCGCACCTCGAACATTGTGAGTTTGAGGTGCGCTGGCGAATCGTCGGTTGCGCTAGGATGTTCAACATAAATCAAAGTGCAGTTGGAAATGAAAGCCTACAGCTTTCATTTCCAACTGCAAACAGCTTCAGAGTTTGTCTAGCGACGCGCTAATGATTGTGCGTGTAACCGCGCAGATGTCGTTTGTAGGTTTCGGCAGACGTCCTTGCTGCATATGCCTATCAAGACACGCTGACTGTTCACTGAATGCACGTTCGTAACAACGACACCGAGTGTCGCGCACTCTACTGTAAAGGGCTTCACCCTATGCCTACCGAAGACAACATAGATTTAATAAAGTCATGGGGTTTTAGAGACAGCGAATGGAGAGCGGATTTCAAGACTGTAGAGATTACCAAGCAAAGATTAAGTGAACGGTGGCAGAAAGCGAGAGAAAACTAGGTATTTTCTTATTAAATGATGGCAAGGGGGTTTTTATAGCCCCACTTTCTTTGCAGTGCGGAGTGAATATAGATTTCACATTTAAATATTCTAAGCTTAAATGGTAAAACAAAATGGCTAGGTGGCATAAGCTACCGCCCGATCCAAAGGGCTCAGCCGGATTCATCCATCCATCCAGCTTTTAAATGATTGTGCATGACCATGAATATAGCTGCATTTCTAAATTGCATTTTAGTGTATTCTGCTTAAAACGTAACGGCCGTTTTCTTATTCAAAGGGGGACATTACGCCTGTGTGAGCCACGCAAGCTTCACATCCGGAATAAATAAAACTGCGCAAAGGAAGACGCGAGGAAAAGTGGGAAGACACACAACTACGAGTGTCTTCCGCCTGTCCTTGTGCCCTTTTTTTCTTCTTTTTTTTTTTTTTGCGCTGTTTTGTTTATTTTTGTCATGCGCCGACTCGCCCAACTACACACCTTGCTACGCAAACGTACGACCCCTGCTAAGGAGGTAGCGTCTCTAGAAGGACGCACGACTTTGACCGCGTCTCCTCCGTGTCGCGACGCAGCAGGTGTCCTGCGCGACTCGTGACAGAGACGTCGTCTCTCCTACCTGAACTGCCGTTGTGCTGTAAAGCGGCGGCACGTGATGTGCCAGCGCGCTTGCACAGGGGCGCGGACCACGCGAAACATTTCTCCCTATTTACTTTTCGTCCAGATGGTTAAAAATAACCATCGTTGCACACGCTTTTTTTTTTTTTTTTTTTTTACCTGAAGCAACATCTTCGCGCGCGCTCGCACCCCCGCCTCCAAACTTAATTCGGGGCGGTTAGCTGAATGACACTCCTGTTTGCCTCGTGTTGGGGCCGAGGAGTTTTCCAGGCAGCATGAGTCAGGACCAGGCCAGGACAGGAACCGCAGGACAACTCCAGACAGGAACATCAGGAAAGGGGGGGTATATACAATGTATATACTCATGTAAATATGTATTAAGCAGAGCTTATTGTGAGAGACCCTCCCGTCCCCTCTCCTGATGTTCCTGATTGGAGTCGTCCTGCGATTCCTGTACTGGCCTGGCCCTGCTTGATGTTGTCTGGAGAACTCGGTATCAGCACTCGTTATATCTAAAGTAAAACACGGGTTGGTTGACATTAGCATGTTTCTGCCGCGCAACTTCTGAATGCTGACATTGGCAGTGCTGTAAGAATTAAAAAAAAAAGAAAGAAAAAATCTGTTTATTATTGTTTCTAGGGAAATCCAATAAATAACACACGCAGCCTATATTAGGCGTCACGCTTTGCATTTTTTTTTTAATGAACCGATTTGGACTCTAGTTAGTTTTGGGCAAGCCGACCAACTGCACGTTATCGGATACCTCTTTCGTTGGGAAAGCACTGAGGGGACACTGAAGTGAATTTTATCGCTGAAGCGCAGAGCAGGGGTGCTATGTTGCGCTTTTTGGACTCGCAGGAGACTAGGGAGAAGGAAGTGACGTCAACGACACAGCAAACGCAGATTGGATGTTGATTTCGTTTTCTTCTGTCAACATCCAATCTGCGTTTGCTCTAGTCGTTGACGTCACTTCCTTCTCCCTAGTCTCCTGCGAGTCCAAAAAGCGCAACATAGCACCCCAGGAGTTGTACCAGGCAATGCACACTCGTCTAAGTTACAGTGCAACTAACGGTCGCGTCGGTGGCGCATGAAAGCGGAAGGGAAGGGAATCGCACGGGCGACGTCACTGTGACCTGCGCTTATCTCCCTCAAATTCTGAGGAGAAGTTACAAAATATATATTCACGGGCAATGGACCGATGTCACCAGCCAGTTTGACTACGCCATCGCTGCCGCATTACGTCGAGGGAACGATAGTCTTTCAGTACGTGCGGCAACCTCGCTGGAGCTCTTCTTGTGTAGAGAACGAGACGTCACGAGCCCTCTTGTGCAGCGCCGTCTGCCAAGTTCCTGAGAACTTGGTAGCGTCACGCACGCGCCGAACTTTGAGTGAGATCGATCTATTTCGCGAAGATTGAGTAGCCTTGCAGCAGGCGTGGGACGCGATTTTAAATAGAGACCATAGAATGTTCAAACGTTCGCTTCGTTCGATTTCCTTGCATTTCTGCATCGGTGCAGAAAAGTGTAGGGCATTGTACTTCCGGTATGTGTATTGAGATACCACAGGAAGTACACCGCCCTCCATGTTTTGTGCACCGGTGCAGGTAAATCGAACAGAGCTAATCTCTCGAATTTCGCCTTTTTTTAAATTATTTTATTTGTTCTTTGCAGGACCCCACGTCGAAGCAGCCGTGGCCCCCCGTTGCCACCAGTTCGAGCTAGAGGAGCCTCCGACAAGACGCCGGACGAGAACATGCGAGAGAAGTCCTGTTAACTCCGGTTCGAACATGTGCGGACGACGATCATGTGAGTAAACGCGATCGCCTGACACATCCTTTGGCAGGAAAGTTGGATCGGACGAATATTCGCACTCCCTATATAATAGACCTTCGCAAAAATCTCCTTCTGCGCGCTGCCATCTTCGCCTGCTCGGCTGTGGAAAGTAAGTGATTTTCTGAAAATTTCAATCAGAAAATGGCGGCCGACGGAGACCGAAAACGGGCAAAAATGGGCTCCATTTTTCCCATTGAAATTTTCAGAGAATCACTTATAACTTTTGATTAAGTTGTCGGATCGGGCTGAAACTTTGGCATCTGGTTGTGACCTCTAGCTCTACCTTTGGGCGGAGAATGAACGTTCGGCGATGCCTAGTTTATTTTTGCGGTAAAAAAGACCGTGTAAATTTTTCTTTTGTGACACCCTGTACTTGCGTTTTGTCTTTCAAGTAGCGTTAAATATGCGCCAGCGCGCGAGGCCTGTGTCTCCGAGGGGCCCTTGGAAGCCAATGGCGGCGAAGCGTCCATTGGCTTCCGAGGAGGGGTTTTAGACGTTCCTGGTGTGGCAAAAGGTCCAAATCCATGCTCCGAGAGACACCTTTTAAAAAGCCCGCCGAACAACATTGGCTGTCACGATTGCTTGGACACGTATAGGGTGCTTTCGCCGGCGTCCACCATTTTGTTGTTGTGAACTGTCTGACGTGTGCCGAAGGTGAGCATTCCAAGGATTTTCATGATCCCTCATATGCGTAGAGCATAGAAGCTTATAAGTCTTGCAAGGCTGACATCTCCTCAACAGGTTTTGATGTAATTCTTCAAATTAGTAATTTTGTTAAAAAACAACAACAAAATGGCGGATTGACGTCATGTGAAAACGCCGATCCGAGTCCTCGCCGAACGCTGACGTCACCCTCGTGTCCAATACACGCTCAGAGGCCTCCGCACCGTCATCACAGCCAGATCGATCGAGGCCCGAGATTGGGCACGAGTGCTGGGTCACTGTTCGGCCGGGGCTCGTGTTCAATGAGAGCGTCGAAGGTGGGACTCGGACCCAATAGCCGAGTTAGCGCGATCCAACTCTGATGACGTTACATGAAGGGAGAGGAGGCAATGCGGAGACTTTCATCATTCTAGGTCAGGGGTCTCAAGCTCATTTGAGTGCGGGGGCCAGATGTCCAACCCCCGAAAGGTCGAGGGCCAATGTAAAGCGGCGGGTGGAAGGTAGGGGCGGGGGCGGGGGCGGGGGGGGGGGGGGGGGGGGGGGGGGTATAATGGAGAAGGAACCTCACGCTCTTGCTTGTCGCATCTGTAGGTTTGATTCGTTTTGGGTGCTTTATACTTTCGGCTTGGTGTGAAAACAAGAATTAAAGGGACCATGAAATGATTTTAAAATCGAGTTTCATCCACCGCACGTCGTAAAAGGTGTGAAAAGAAACACAAAAAATAGGGAGCCAAAAAAAATTATATGCTATAGAACTTTTAAAAGAAAACTGGACTCTTTTGCGCCTTCCTTCCTTCGCCTGTTCACTACGATGCATCCGCGGAAATGGAGCACGTCAGCCAAATCCACGTCGCCTATTGGGTAAGAGCCTACCTCACCAGCACCGCGATCGTAAACAATAAATAGCCGGCGAATGTTTCCTAAAAGTTTTGTTAAATAATATTCAGATCCACATTTTGTAGCATAATTAGAAATGTGTGGCGAAAATTGCCAAATTTGATAATGCTGAGAGCCAAGCGCCATCTATAGTGTGGTAAACGAAGCAACTACTGCGCGTGCGCAGTAGGGCAGGGCCGACAGTTACTTGGGTGGCGGCGACCGACGAACGTTTATTTTCTTTGTTTTCCTTCCTCTCAAAACTCTGACTGACTGAACGTTTATTTTTCTACGTGTTATTCCCGCGCGTGACGCAGTAAAACCTACCGGCGCACCCCAACTCGTTGCCGCTAACACTCCCATTCTCCTACTGCCGAGAGAACTTCCGGTTCCGGAAACGGCCTACGTCACGGCTTGTTTTGCGGTCAGTTGGAGAGAATGAAAAAGTCGATATTTCAATAATTTTTTGTGTAGAAGTTAATAAACCGAGACGAAAACGGATGCCTGTTCGGCATTCAGTGAACATTGACGGTTTAATGTAAAAGTTATCTGGAAAAAGTAAAAAGGTCATTTCATGGTCCCTTTAAAATGACTCTGCGTCGCCCCCATGCTGCAATGTTTTTTATTGCACAAAATAGTGAGGACACTAGTTTCCGTTGCTAAATTCTTCGGGAATCATTCAAACTCAAGAGGATTCTAAAAACATGTATTTCTTTATACGACAGTTATTGCTTTCCTGGCGACTTTTATAGAAGTAGTTTGATAAAATACTTGTATTTTTATGGCGGTGCGTCTGAAGGCCAGCATTCGAAGGTTATAGCTTTATCTTCGGCAATTGCTGCTGTTGAGCGAGGGTTCTTGCAGCTGAAGTGACAAAAAGCTGGAGAGCAAAAATTAAAACGAAAAAATGTGATAATATTATAAGAGCAGCGCTACATATGTAGCATAACTCAATTGGTGACATTAGGTTAATATGGCGCATGCAATTTCTAGCGCTCAAAACATAGGAACAAAGGCTCGCAGCCGGTTACTTGCGGGCCGCGTGTTTGAAACCTCTGTTCTAGGTGGTGTTAGTTCAGCTGATGAGAAGGAGGCTGCTGATTGGTCCGGTGAGCTCGTCACCCTTCCCGTCGCACTGTCAGCTTTGGGGTGAACGAAGTGTAGTCTTGGACCACCGTCTGTGCTTTGTAGATAGGGTCGCAGACCCTCGGAGAAACCAACCACACGCGACATCGCAAGCGCGTGAAATGTAAAGGCAGGATTGCCCGCGCGAGGCGCTTCGAACGTCGACGAGGTGCACTAAAAAACTCGCTAAAAGGACCGGGGAAAAAAAGAAAAGAGGAAGCGTTGCACTTTGTCGCGATGTGTGTCGTGCATCGCAGTGGCCTCAAGGTCACGCGTCGCACATAGAGTAGTGCAATGGTCTCTCATTTTGATTGCTGGGAAGGGACCATCGCTCTTGCAAGAGACGCGGCGGCGGTAAACCTTTCCCTCGGGAGAGCGCGCGCGTCGGCGTGCGCGCCCCGCACGCGCTTTAAATCATTTTCTGTTTTTTCACGTGACCCTTTCTTCTCGATTTGACGGCGAAAAGAAGAGGATTGCAACACTCGGGATTCGCCATTTGGTTACTCAAATTGCCGCGCGCAACGTCTCGTAACTTTATAATTGGGGGCCGCCTATTATTTCAACATCGCAGCAGCGACCTTGCAGACGCTCTGCTTGGGTGGCACATTTACAGAGCCAGTTACTCCGTAAGGTGGGTTTCGGCCATTAAATGTGTTGCAGGGGTAAAAAATTGTCTCTGGAAATTACCTAATTAGCTTCAACATTTTAAGGCCACTCATTCTCTAAGCACGTAACTTTAAGGAACATAGAAAGGCATGCCATTCTCCATTCTGAAAAAAACACTAGTTTTAGTAGATCGTTCCGATAACTCCGACACCGACCGCCTTTGAGCATGCGTCGTACCTCTATCGGGGGCGTCGGAACCGAGCGGCTAAAACTCTACTGTATAGAACAGCTTAGAATGTAAAGGATACGCGCAATTTATTTTTCTGGATCAAACTGATCATACTGTCGCGATAAATAGTCCAGGCCCATTTTGTGACCATCTTTTTGTTTGTCTTGTAGGCATATCATTGTGTGTGATATCCCTGCTGTCCGTTGTGCTGGGCATGCTGACACTCCTAGGCTTCGACAACATCTTCAGGCTCATCCTGAACAAGGTAATCTGTTGTGAATCTCCTACTTTCAATATGTATCTTTTTATATAAATTAACTTGAAATGTCTTCACTACTATTTCATTTGTCCATTTGCGAGGGATGTTAAACGTATGATTCAAATTTCGTGACTGAAATTTTCATGCAGCTCCGCCCTGGTCAATCCTGGTTTAACGAAAATATATACATCTAAAAGTGTGTTCTACCTTTCTCGAGTCTTGCATTGGAATGTGGTGATTTTGAGCTCCAGTGTTGAAAGTAGTGCTTCACCACCGCTGGGGTATTCGTACCAATGTATTCAATGGCAGACACTTCTTTCCTAAGCGATTCACAGCAAAGCACTGCACAAAGAACTCCACAATACTAACTAAAAACACTACTTGAGTCCTAAATGAGGACTCACGTCCTCATTTCATTCATTCACATTCACAGGCAAACTATGGAAGTGGTTTGTCCAGGATTGTCAACCTGGGGGAGGTGTAGCACTTCTGGGAGAGGCTATGGGGGTTTGGAAGGCGTGCATATTATAGGTTTCTGTGCTTTGTGTGGGGAGTTCCGGGCGATATTGTACTCAGCCTGTGGGTGTGGGGTGGATAATAAAAATCAAGATGATTAAAGTTGTAATTTTGAAATTGGATCGGTTTTATTATGACGATTCACATCTAACCATTTTATATAATCTCGAAAATACATTTTCTATCCACCGTTTGATTATCATTTAATGCTCGTTACGTGCATTTTGTTTTGTAATTAAATCTGAGAATCATCAAGCAAGAAGGATTCATGTCAAGTTGAACACGAGCACAAAACTGAAAACTGTGGTCTTGTGAGCAAGTCGGAACATTGAGCTTTCTGCCATTCACTTCGTTTGTCAGCTACATAATGTCGTATTGCAAGTAGATAAAGTAAATAAGAACGTGAAATTAACTATCACTAGAAAAGTCATGTCCTATTACAAGAAAATCAAAACTGAAAAGGAAAAGCAAATAAGGCTTTTGCACTAACCTATAAATATCAACATTAAAAGTTGCTAATTAGTCGTCATTAAATTTACAGTAATTCCTTCCCCATTATTTTCTTTGATCAGACAGATTGATCAATCAATCTATCATATTTAAAAATGCATCTAGCGATTAAAAAGCACAACTTCATTGGCTACTGTGATTTAATTTAGATTAATTTGATTCATATCAAATAAATCGGATTTAATAAACTTTAAAAGAAACTCATGATTTTTTGTTTTCAACCTGCACACAATGCAGTGCTGACAATAGTGCTGATGCAGTCTGCATTATTTCAGTGCCGCACTGCATGTGTGAACCCACCATAACCATCACGTACAAGTCTTGACACTAGCTTTTCTCTCTTTTTCAGGAGGTGTCTCTCGCAGAGCACTCGCGGGCTTTCCCCATGTGGAGGGACGTTGGTCACGATACCTTGGTGCGCTTCTACTTCTTCAACGTAACAAATCCCGACGAGGCCTTGACAGGACGAAAACCATCGGTGAAGGAACTTGGGCCATACACTTACAGGTAGGTGTCTCGCACCTTTTCGATACTGAAACGTACGCCTCATCCGCTTGATTGTTTTTGTTCCACAGCACTTTATACTTCACGTAAACTATCTTGTGCTACTACGTTGTTAAGGCTAACATAGCTTCCACAGTGCTTCTGCCCCACACTGCTATGAAAGCATGATCCTGCAGCTTCCTGTTGGGTTTGCATGCACTGGTGCAAATGCCTTTGACAGCATTGGAGCACTGCCGAGGGCGTGCTAGCATTGATCCTGTAGCACAGTTAGCAGACAGTTTGGAACTGAAACTTTGTGGTGTTTGTATCTAGATACTTTCTGTGGTCCCTTGTTTCCTGAGCCTTACTGTGACACTTGGGCAATGCAGGACACGCTGTCAATACATTGTGGAGCATTGACAGGCTGTTGAGAATCTTCAGTAGTGTTTCTTTTTCTTTGATCTTGGGGCCTGTAAATTTTTTTCCACATGGACTTGAAGACAACTGCCATCACCTGCATTATGAAGGTCAAAGCTTATCTACATGCATTATGTATGTTTTTTCTCAAAACTACCATTATTAGATCTCAACATAGTGAAAGGAGTGCTTTGTGGTGTCAATATGGCAATCCTGGAGATGAGTGCGCACAGTGTTGCCTAAATTGAGCTGATGTGGTGACCTATTGATGCAGTGGTGCAGCCAGGAATTTCTTTTTGGGGGGGGGGGGGGGGGGTTATGACTATGGGTACAGAGGAGGGGAGGGGTCAAAATACATGTGTATATTATAGGGTCTGCTGGATTCCGGGGAAGCCTGAAACCCCATACGCCACCCACCCCCCTCCCCCGGGCTACACCTCTGATGATGTATTCGCTAATTCAGTATATAGACACATTTATAGTACAGCCCCTACTGCCTAATAATTTACTGATGCTAATGCTTTATTGATGCAAAATTGTTTAGCAGAGCTGGCAGAAAAAGTTATGAAACAACGTGGGTAACCTGTGACCTCTGTCTTCTTGCAGGGCTGAGTGGGTCAAGCACAACATAACATTCCATGACAATGGCACAATGTCATACACAGAGACCAAGCGCTATTACTTTGAAAGAAGTCTTTCCATAGGGCCCGAAGAGGACGAGATCATGACGGTCAATGTACCTTTTGTGGTAAGTTCCTTACAGTCTAAACTTAGGACACTTTTTTTTTTTTTTTCAGTAAAATTTTGGTTAGTATGTTGATTTCCCATAGGAGTTGTACTAAAGAGATACTCATCAAATATGGGATAATTGTGACAATCACTCAACTTATTATTTTGGCCAGTTCAACATTGATAAAAAACAGAAAGTGCCAAACAGGTTTCTGCATCTAGATATTATGATGGGGTGGCAAAAGGTGGCAAGCCAACATAATTGAACATCTAGACAATCATAATATTTACATAAACCTGGAAAAAAATGTTTTTGAAGACAAAAATATGGAAAGAATATACTGATTAACTGCCATTCATAGTTGCTGCTTTGAAGTGTGTTTGAATGTTGAAGAAGCATTACTTAAAAAAATTATGACAAGCTCTAAGGAAGATTAGCGTTTTGAGAATGTATATATTCTGAAAAATGTATACAGCAATATCTCGAGAGATGGCCCACCACTATTTTTGGCATGATTAGCAATCATTTTAGAAACACTGAAAGAATGCCCACTTCTAGTAATTGCAGGGCCTCGGGCAATGGCGACCCTGGGAGACACATTGTTACTTAACCACGGTGGAAGATAAGCATATTTTGCTGATTGGTGAGGACATCGTCTTTAGTTTTGCAAATCACAAAATCTAAAACTATAATTTTTTAAACTTTTTTTTTATGGCACATCGAAAGTTAGCTTACCTCTTTTTTTCATCCGGTTTGCTATTGATATTAGGTGGGTTATCTCTCCGGATATTACAGTTCAGTTCATCAGTATACTGAAGTCAGCTTATGTTACCTTTGACAGAGTTGCTGCCACACCCCTATGTTGCCAACCAAATACTACCGTGGCTTCAGGACTTGTACCATTACCGACCTGTGTCTCAGTGCTGGCTCCTCTTTATCTCCCTTAGACCACCGCCCAGCTTCTGAAGGAGCAGAACTTCATCATCCGCGGCATCGCCTCTCTGACCCTGTCTGGCCTGGGCCAACGCATCTTCATCTCTCGCACGGTGGGCCAGCTCACCTTCGGCGGCTACCCCGACATCCTCATCCTGCTGGGCTCCGTCGTGGACTCCGGTTGCCCGAGGCCCGGCCAGCCAGGGTTCAACATCCAGGACGTGTTCCGGAATGGCTACCGGGCCGTCACCAAGGTCCTTGGATCTCTCGTGGACCCCAACCAGCAGGGGACCAACGGAAAGTTCGGCTACATGATTAACGTGAGTCCGGAGAGCGTGAGCTATGATGGACAAGACCCGACCATTGTCGTGTGCCCGTGTTCCCCGCGAGCTCGGTTATATTTTTTGATTAGTCCGAAACTTCAGAGGCTGGGACTGTGATTTCGTCTTTACAGCAACAGGTTTTTCAGTGGATTTCCGAGCGTGTTTCATGTGGTTGTGGCATGTGACTTTAGTATCACATAACCACGTCACCTGATGGCGCGTAACAGTGATAAAATTTATCTGCAATGAAACTAAATTTAGCGTTGTTGCGGGGAAAGCGATCGGTTCCTGGGGTTCTTAAATTTTATTGAGACATTTTTTCTTTCCCAATGGCATGCAAAGCACAGTTTGGATACATGGTTAATGTGAGTGTGGCCTTCTTTCTTTTCGGTCCATCTATGCTTGTTTCTTGGTGTTCAGCTCTCCTTATATTGCTTACTTATTTGTACAGTGTTTGTTTATTAAAAGATGGGACCTCTCTCATGCAGAAAAATGACACGGTCGACGGAGAGTACACAATCTTCACGGGGGAAAACGACATCTCTCAAGTGAACAAGGTCTACGAGTTCAACAAGCAAAGGTCAGTGCGCTTAATTTTACTTGAGCAGTGGCTGAACCTGTCAAAATGCTGCTGATGTAGTAAGTGCATGCATGCTAACTTCTACCCTACAAAAAGCAACCTGAGATTTTTACTTTGGCTATGCCCTTTTTGAGGGGTCAGCTCTGGAATTACGAACATACCTGTCGTTCAGTCCTTGCAAGTCACTGGAAAGTATTTTGGTGTTCAAAGGTGGCCGACTTTTCTTATGACAATTATAACCGACTGCTGCTGTGGCATTCAACCTGATTTTGTTAAATCCAGGCCCCTGTCATTAATTTCTTTCCCACTCTTTGCCTTTTTAGGGAACTGAATGTGTGGCACGGTGAGGAATGCAACCAGCTGAAGGGAACACGTATGTAATACCTTTTTTATGCAGAAACACATATCTGTATGTGTATTTCCTTGCAGCAGCATTATAGCTTCATCATGCTTGCTCATGAGATTCTATGACACACCTTTGTTGTTGCTCTTGACGTTATTTTAAAGTTGAATGTCGTGGAGAGTGGCAACTTGCAGTGCTTTTTTGGTGCTCCTCGTTTTCGTGACTCCCAGAACTGATGGAAATGAGAAAATTTTAGAAGGAAAAAAGTGCCCAAGAGCAGTGTCTTGCATTCATGCTTTGTAAAGTGAAAGTATTAATAAGTCTGCACGCTAATTCAAGTGTTTGGTGCATCGCAGCTCATTGGTCACTTCCCATGAATTTGACGTTATGACTGACCTTCTTCTCACAGTGGGACACCTTCGCCCACCCCTGTCTAAAGATGACGAACAAGTCATCTTCATTCCCGACATATGCAGGTATGGTCGGCATTCCTCGTTTTCAGGTTCTACATATTTTATAAAAGTATTGGGGTAAAAACCCGACTTAAATATTTGAAATCAATGTTTGGCTATTTTCAATACATGCCAGCAAGCTGGTGAACTTTTAACATTGTGGAGAGACCTTAGGCCAGGGTGACACAGTAAATTGACAGACCATGCAAAGACCTCAAACTCTGTGTGTTTAGCCCTTTTCTTATCTGACCCTAAGCAGAGTAATGTAGGAGTGTCGTGAAATTTTATTGAACCTGGGGTTTGTTTGGCAAACCTTTGAACAAAATTCAACTAAGTTCTTTTGAAACGTCATTGCCCGACATCCCAAGTTTTGGGACAAAAATTATGCATGAAATAACCCATTTTAATTTTTAGAGAGTAATTTCCAATGTTACACAATATAAAAGCAAACATCTACACTTTTAATGTTGTAGTTTGTTGAAATGGTGCACCCCTCCTCTGCCGGGCAGCGGCAGCTTCTTTTTAATTTACATGCATACTGTACATGCAATATTTGATCTTTTCTACAACTTTGAGTTGAAAGTTGAAAATGCATCTCGATCGGTTTGTGTTTCAAAAATTGTGACCTGGCGACGCCTGTACTCCTCAATCTCCAGGTCCATTCCGACGGAGAATATGGGCTACGAGGACTTCATGGGCCTGAAGGTCAAACGCTTTGTGGCTGGCCCGTTGGCCTTCGACAGTGGCCAGAAGTTCCGCGAAAACAGCTGTTTTGCCGCTGGAAAGGAACTGCCGGAAGGGGGCACTGACCTCGGACCCTGCAAGCAGGGTACGGAATGGTCTGCTACTTTCCGACTGTCGATTCCGTAACCGCGCAACGCACAGTCCTTACCGACCCAGAAACAGATCATTCACATTGGAGGTCTAGTAGCACTGTAGAAATGTAGTAAGGTCGGCTTTCGTTTCTTTTTTTTTTTTTTTTTAAGGAAAAGTATTTGAAATCGGTATACAATTATCTTCCCTTCATTTTTAATTATTTATTCATAATGTATCAAAGGCCTAATCTAGTAGCAGTAGACGTTAAGAATAAATTGAACTTCGAAAAGTTTATATGAAAAATAACAAAAACTTGTTTTCACAATACATGAAAGGAAGAAAACGATAGGGTCAACCTGGCAATTCAACATAAAAAGCAGATGTGTTTCAAAACTCTGATTAGCAAATTAAAAGGCTCAGTCAGTGAGTAGTGACATGATATTGTAATTACTCAGTGATAGGAGTCTCATACTATGCTGATTACACAATTCATTCTTATTTCTTTGTGTTTGTTATTTATTTTATTCTTTATTACTTTTCTTTGTCAATACTGTTTTCTCTATTTTAAGCAATTACAGAAGTGGCAAAAAAAAAAGACTGAACAGAGAAAAATATCACATCCATATGAGTACAAGTCACAGCATAGAACTCCTCAATCTTTCTGAACACAGTCAGAACTTGTGGTAGGGTTGCCTTGTTGCATGCCCATCCGGGAAAAACAACACGGAACCGGGGTTTCCAAAACGAGAAACTACATTTATTAAAGTGACGGGAATGGATTGTTAGTATCAACGTAAAACATTGCCGGAGCGTTCAAACTGCACGCCTCCGTGGCCACGGTCCGTCTTCCCCACAGTGGGCGTGTCCCCCTCTTTTATGCACTTGCGCGGCCGGACGTTTGCGCGGCCCAGATGTTCTCTGGGTGGTCGTAGCGGCCTCTGGTGGTGGTGGCCGGCCCTCGCTCCCACAAACTGAGGCACAATACATCTTCGCCTCACCAGCCACATTTTCTCGACATCGGCATTTGCACCACTTGGCAATATGTACATTGCCAAGTGGCACTGTTCACCATTCCGGAAGGTGAAAGGCTCACTGTCATTATTACATGTGTGCTTCAACTTTAATTTACTACGCCCATATCTTTGCTTTATCAGCGGTCATTAGGAAACTGCTCCACTGCAAAGTGAAGATACAAAGACGAAAACTCGAGAAAATAAGTACAGGGCTTCACAAAAAAAAATTTACAGGGTTTTTTTTTGCGGCAAAAATAAACTAGGCATCGCCAAACGCTCATTCTCCGCCCAAAGGTAGAGCTAGAGGTCACAACCAGATGCCAAAGTTTCAGCCCGATCCGATTTTTTATTCGAAAATTGTAAGTGATTTTCTGAAAGTTTCAATGGGAAAATAGAGCCCATTTTTGCTCGTTTTCAGTTTCTGGTGCCATAGAGCCCAATGTATTTGAAAACTCCGTCGGCCGCCATTTTCCCATTGAATTTTTCAGAGAATCACTTATAACTTTTGATTAAGGTATCGAATTGGGCTCAAACTTTGGCATCTGGTTGTGACCTCCAGCGCTACCTTTGGGCGGACAATGAGCATTCGGCAATGCCTAGATTATTTTTCCGGTAAAAAAAAACTAAATTTTTTTTTTGTGACACTTTGTAGACTTACCATGCCCACCATGTCACATGTTCATGCAAGCACTATAATACGCTTCTCACATATGGAACATTTAGTTTTATAGATGCTTCTGGGGACATCTCTGCCATATCCCAAATTGCCAAAATAAGGCTTTGGCTCTTGTTTATACCTTGGTCGTGACCATGTTAATTTTTTCTGAGTGGCCTGTGTAAAATCTAAGCTCTCAATTTGCAGGTGCTCCTCTGGTGCTCTCCTTCCCCCATTTCCTCTACGCCGACCCGGCCTACCTGGCCGACGTTGACGGCCTCCACCCGGATGTCACCAAGCACCAATTTTTCTTCAACAGCGAACCCGTGAGCTTCCCATTTTGGCAATATGTCAACCAATGTTTTGAATCGGAACTTTGTCGCTACTTCCTGGGAACAACCTGTCACTTGTGCAGCCATCAGATGAGGACTTACACTTCCCTTTTGGCATTTCTTTTATTATATCTCGCTAGACTATGCGGTGTGCAAGTTTGTCTGCTTCCTTTTTTGTGGTGACAATGAAACGCCAAGCTTTGATTGGCTCCGATTGAAAGATATAGTAGGTAAACCTCACAGCAAGCTACATGGTCTACTTACTGTACTACCCTTCATTCAGCCAATCAGAGCTTGGCATTTCGACGTCACCACAACCCCTGCAAAAAAAGCAGACGAACTTGCGCTCTGCATAGTCACAGACAGGACAAGCGCAGTGTCTCTTTCAAATGCTCGGCCTCAAGCACACGCCTGTTGCCTTCTGTCATGCTCTGGCTGTACCTGCACAGTCAAAAGCTCAAAAGACCTCCCTGGTATTCTAATCCCGTCAATGACTGTAAGACGAGCATGAATGTCTAGTCATTAGTAATTAATCTTCTTTTGGTTCGTAGGAATCAGATTAAACGTGTGGCATCAATTTGATTTTTTCTGCATCGTTTCAGACCCTCGGCGTCACCGTGAATGTTCGTGGTCGCATTCAAGTGAGCGTGGTTCTGGAGCGGGTCTTTGGTCTTGGGTAAGTTGACACGTTTGCAGTTAGAAATTCAGATTGTTGCTAGCGGAGTACTTACTTAAATACTTGGCACCGGTACGGCGATAACATTTGTGTAGAAGCAATACCAGTTAGGTGCAGCTGTAGATTAAATTGAACTGAGTTTCATTTAGTAATAATAAGGTCTCCATTTGTTGATGGTGCTAGTCAGCTGAGTGTGATATATATTAGCTTGAAATATTGCAAAAGAGTAATGGAACGACTGGATTTCAGTGGACATGAAGCTGTTCGTTTTGAATAATGAATATGAATGGCAAGAATGCATGCTATGAAAATTGCTGTTGGTTTTTGAATAATTGATATGTGTATATTCAAATGACGAGAATGCAGGCGTGCTATAAAAATTGGGGTCGGTTTTGGATAATCAATATGTGCATATTCAAAGAACATGCTATATAAATTTGTCTTATTTTTTGACAACCGATATGTGCGTATTCAAATGTCAAGAATGCATGCCATGAAAATGACCAGGTCTTCTTTCACAATTCTTGCAGTCCCTTCTCACAAGTGGCAGAAGGCGTGCTTCCCCTTTTCTGGCAAGAAACTGTAAGTGATAATATCAAAGCTTGAATTGAAAAGATTTTGTTGGGTCACGACATGCTTTGTTATTGTAATTGAAATATGAAACGGGTACACAAAATGTGCAAATAGAAGGTGGCTAGAAGCTTGCGAGTTATCTACCTCCTGTTAAAGGTGCAGTAAGCTGTCTTGAAAGCTTATGCTGCGTGTTATGTTGTCAAAACCTAGTTGTGTAAGGACTTTAAAACCCGGCAAATTTTAAACTTTGGGGCCTAGAATATGTTCCAACTGTACATTGTAAACTATAGTGAGAAGAGGTTAAAGTTACCTCCAGCTGCAATTAGATCAGTGCATCAGATACATTAAGGGCAAATAGACACCCAAAGTATTCATGGCCACATTGTATTCAACACTTATGTAGGACATTCTTAGATCACGTATTACTTGTTCCACTTATGTTTGGACTTAAATAACACTTCTTTGCAAAAAATATGTTTTACTTATCCAGGGGTAGCCAAGTTCCACATATTTCAGAGTTTATGCAAAACAGTGTTTCAGATAACTGATATTTGTGATTAATAAATGTAAGAAAAGTCAGTTTCTAAAGGTTTTAACTGGAAGAGATTGGCACCAAAGTGGAGCAGGGTAAGTGGAACCATAAGCAGAACGACTTCGGAAGGAACTGGCAATCCGCATAAAAGTTTGACATGTTCTTGAGAGAATATGTGGAACATTGACCTAGCTGGACCTACGTGAACCCAGATTAAGAGTGCTAAAGGGATACTTCAACGAAATTTGAAATATTCCCGTCGTGTTAAAAAATAGGTTGAATATGATCCACAATATCCGTAAATCACAATCGCACGTTTGTATTTTAATCCTGGTGGCTGTATTTTTCGTTGTAAACGGCCCACTCTGGAAAGGTCTCGGAGAAGGCCCAGCTTAGAGCACGTGACATCCAACGCAATCGTGACGTAGGTCGTCTCAAGACGAGCAAAGCTACGGCGAGGCTGACGTCGAGAGAATGGCCTAGTCGTTCCAGCCACCGAAGCGGCTGCTTTTGTACGAATTTTGAGTGACGGGTTAATCTTCTGTAATCTTTTAGGGGGACAATAGCGACTTCTGCGACACACAAAAGGGATTCTCGGGAAGAGGGGAGTTCCTCCTTCCCCGCTTCTCTCGTCGTGGCCGGAGACGAGACAACCTCCGTCACTAGCTGTCAAGGTTCCTAGACGAGCATTACAAACGAGGCGTTAGCGACATCCACCAGGTGCTCTTTGCTAATCGTTTAATTCGTTTTAAAATTCCTTTTCGAGACCTTTTTAACAAGATATTGGTATGTTCCATGTGATACTGCTTTTTTGAATACATATAGACCAAAAAATGAGCGCCGAAATTTCGTTGTAGTATCCCTTTAAGAGTGTATGTTGGCTCACTGGCTTTGGCCACTAACTGGTCTTTCCATTGCCTTGTTTGTTTGTGCAGTATGTTGAGGCTCGGGGGGACACCCTCAAGATGCTGAGGACCATAGTAAACCTTCCAGAATACGTCCAGTGGTTCTCTGTTGGAATCATCATAGTCAGCTCCATCGCACTGGCCAGCACAGCATTTGCCCTGTTCAGGTGAGCCCATAAGTATTATGAGTGTATATGCAAATGTAAACTCTCTTCTTTATGTTGAACCCACAAGCACAGGTCTTGCTCCATTGTCAGTTAGCGGTTGAATCCCAACTCCTTGCTCTACCAAGAACAGACAAAGATGGTTCAATATCTGCTAACCCTGAAGATTCTCAGACAATCTATTGTCTGCTATTCTTACAGATTAGCAGGTGGGACATTTTGTAAGCTAAGCTTTGAGATTAGCAGCTGGCATCTATTGTTGGTTAATCTTCCTGGGTAGCTGATGATATCAATTGTTTGCAAGTTTTTGAGATTATTAGATGGCATCTTTTGTTTGCTAATCTTCCGTACTATCAGATAGAATCTTTTGTTTGCTAATCTTCCGTACTATCAGATAGAATCTTTTGTTTGCTGATCTTCCAAATTAATAGATGGAACCTTTTATTAGCTAAGCTTCCAGGTTAACAGATGGAATCTGCTAATTTTCTAGTTTTTTCAGATTAGTATATGCAGATGGAATCTTTCTTTTGATCTTCCAGATTAGCAGATTAAATCTTTCTCTTGCTAGTCCTCCAGATTAACAGATAGCGTATTTCACCTGCTAACCCTCCAAATTAGCAGATAGAATCTTTCGCTTGCTAATAATCTCTTATTTAAAATCGAAAAAATAAAAAACAGAGGAAAAGCATTTAGCAACAATGTTTATTTTGGGCGGGAAAATTGCACCCTGAACGAGATCCCAACTAAGATAGGGTGATAATGGGGATGGAAATACTGGGGGATGAAAAGGGGGAGGAAGAACCTGAGGCACGGGCAGAACTACAGTGATGGTGTGGTTTTTATGGGGATATGCGATATTTTTTAAGTTCAGGCCTGATGAATTCTATTTCCCGTCTTGGTAAGGTTACTGAGGTCAATGAAAGTTTGTTTTCTGCGTTCTGGATGGAGGAAGGATGCGATGGTCTCCCGTCCGTAGCGAATCTCTTAGTTTAGCAGATGGAACTTGCACCTGCCAGTCTTCCAGATTAGCAGATAAAATCTTTCACTTACTAATCTTTCAGATTAGCAGATCAAATCTTTCACTTACTAATCTTTCAGATTAGCAGATGGAATTTTTCATGCTAATCTTCCAGTTTATTGGATAAAATCATTTTAATCTTTAATCTCTTCAGGAATTAGCAGACACTCCCTATACTATTGCGGTGTCCTAACCGCGTTGGGTCTCTGAAAACCAAACGCATTGGTTGGTGCCACCCTTCGCTCGTGCAGGCCTCGAACCAGACGGGGCGACATCACCAAAGTCCGGCCCATCAACGGCGCAAGTAAGGCGAAGTACGCGGACACCCACTGCGCCGATATCTTGCCAAACAAGGTGGAGCGCATCATCCAGAACGGCCTGGAGCGGCTGCCCAACACCTTCGGCATCACGGCGGCGCGCAACAACTTCATCAACGAGTTAAAGAGCGGCAACAACAACAACCCAAGGCGTCCCTCAGAACCGTCCGCACCGCCCGAAGTCAACATCTACAAGTCGTGACCCCTTGGACGTGCCTATCTGAGCGTTCTTTCTTAGCGGCGGAGACCTACGCTTCCCGTGTAAATAGTTAGGGACCACCGACCTGTGAAAGTGAACCGCATGCCATGTTCGGGTTGGCCCTCGGGTTTTGGGACACTGCAAACAAGCTCAATTTTCGCTACCAAGGAAAAGCCAAAAATGACGAGCCATCCGTGAATGAAAGTGAGAGCTGACAGGCTTGTGCCAACACCTCGTAGATAAGAAGACCTAAGCGCTGAATTTTTGGCGTCGCCAACAGAAGGCCAACTTGGAGCGTACAAAACTGCCGTGTCAGCATTCAGCTGGAACTCGCGTCGTCGCTGATTAAATGCGAGTCTCAGCCAAACGCTGGTGCAGTGCTTGTGTCCAATCCATGCTTCACGCTGGCCTTCTTTAGCTGATGTCGAAGATTTGGCACTTTGGCTTTGGTACCTAGGAAGTGTCGCTGGTGCTGTGGCGTCATTTGCCATGCTGGATTAGTGTTTTGCGTGATGTATGGAAGTTTTAAGAAAATGAGCAAATTACCGCAGACATTTGCCATTGCTTACAGAGCAAGCCAAATATGAGTCGCCTTTGTATGGAAAATTTTGCACACCTGTCTGTGGATGCACGCATATCTTTCATGTTGAGATGACGTCTAAAGTGAGGATCACGTCCGTGATCTGATTTGATTGAAGTATGTGTGTTCTGACTCCTGAGATCTGCAAAGCAGCCCTAGAAATGGTCTGTCGTAATCGATGTCACAATGGGAAGAGCATTGTGAAAACAGACAATGATGATGCGAAGCTATTCTGCTTAATATGGTCCCTGCGCGCTCTGCAAAAAATTTGTACCATGTTGGAAGTGCTCTTACGCCTGAAAGTTTGATCTGTAAAGACATGTTCGTAAATGGCTCCATAGTTGTTGGCCACAAACTTGGTGTACCACAGCCTTTGATGGAATCTGTACCATCTAGCATATAATATATCTTTTCTAAGTGTTTTGTAAAATCTTTAAATGAGATGCAGAAACTATGATGGTCTGCATAGGGTAGGTTGACAAGGTTAACCTAAAGCCATTTTAACCTCTTGTCCTAGTAATTACAAAGTTTGATGCCTGAGTTGTATGTGTAGACTCTGAATTTGTGTTCTGGTAACATTTGTGTGTGTGTGCATATATATGCACTGTACAGTTTGTAGCAATGAAGATGACCCTTTCAAGGTAACTATACTGTGTAACTATGCAGCAATACGTTTAATACAGGCTTTTTTTCTCTAGCAGCATTTCCAAGATGAATTTCAATTATACTCAGCGTAACACAATACTCCTGTCGATCACGGATGCCTTTTCAAGTACAAACAATAGCACAATGATGCTACACAGTATTTTTAAGCAAACGTGACAGCGAGGCCTTTTTTGACGCATTAAATATGCCACACTTTGACCAGCCTGGTCAAAGTATTGCAGTATTGTCATTGTAATGAGTGGAACCTGCATGTCCAATCAAGTGCTTCATCATGAGAAACATGTTTGTTTCTTACATATATGTATTTATCACCATTTCCTATTGCAAATACTATGCATAATTCAAACCTATTTGGCCCGACGCAGGGAGAAACACTGTTTTCTACTTCAGAGCTATCTAAGCAGTTCCAGTTCTATGGGACTTGCAAATCAGATCCTTTGGTGTACATAGCAAATTTCTACCCAGCACCTGTTGGTATATGTGTTAGATAGACTAGACTTCACAACCATTTTTTTTGTTTGGAAATACTTCGTTGGTCTTTTTAATAACATTCCAGCAGCAGTGTCCAGATTTTTTTTTATTTGCCACTGTGATAAGAAAGTGTCTGTGCTCATATTCCAGCTGGAAAATACATTTTTTAAGGGTCATACCAAAGGCACTGTGCAAGGAATGAAATATATTTATAGTAATAAAGGAATTGACAGCCATTTGCGTCTGTGACTCGCTTACACACCTCATGAAAGGTAATGTATTGTTGGTTTTGTTACATATGATATCCTCACCTCGCATTGCAACTTCATGTGACGTTTCCAGAAAGTTGGTTTGAAAGTTATATACTGCGATCCTATATTTAGTTTTCATAATTCTTGCACTGAGGTAGTTAGCTGCCTCGGTGGCTTTGAGGTGAGAGCGCCGGCCTACGGATCCCCAGGTGGCGGGTTCGAATCCCGACCGAGGTGCCCGCAATATGACTGAGGCTTATTGCGGAGAAGCCGCCGCACGTCAAAAGATCCCCAGGTGGTCGAAATTAATCCTGTCCTCCGCTGGGGCGTGCCAGATGCCCGTCGTAGGTTTGGCACGTAAAACCCCCAAATTTGATTGATTTGCACTGAGATAGTTAAAAAGTTGCAGAAAGGGACAATTCTTACATGCATTGGTTAATCTTATCAGAAAGCATGTCAGGTCCGTCGGAACTATTAATCATAACCAGCATGACAGCACTGCACCACTAAACGCTAAAACACAAACAATAACTTCACCCATAGCCTCCCCTATACTGAGAAAGCCTGGCAGATCGGCAGGAGATGTGGCTGCCGAAAGAAAGTGAAAAGCTAGAGCGACAGACAACGAATGAGAGGAGAGGCACGTAATGGGCACCCTGCTGGCAGCGAGACGCCAAAACACACTTGTACCGAGCGATGGAATGTCCGCTCGTGCTCCTCGCGCTACCGCTTCTTTTATAATTAAGAATTAAACCTTGAGAACTACCGCTTTTCTCATCGGGATTAGAAACCACGTTTCGGGTCCTCGCCGCAGCAAAAGCTGAGCTCCGACCGCAGGCTCCCGAGAAACGCTCTGTGCTACAAGATCCTCGTGCTCTATGGCTGCGTTGTCGAACTGCCAGGCTTTGTGAGTAAAGAGGAGGCTATGCTTGATCACTCCTATAGTAGAGAAGAATATAAAATGTTATCTTTTAGATTAGGAACAACAAAGATCGCATGCGCTGAAATTATTTCCTTTCACCTTACGACAAACCGTATCGGACACCACAAGCCATACCAACCAATCCAGTGCTGCGAACGTCGCGCGATACTTGCACGGCACTGGGTTAATTGGCTCTGATGGCTCGTAGAACCCGATGCGCTTTATCGTAACGTGAAACGGTGTATAAAATGGTGACGAGGAATGGATACAGCAGGGGCAGCAGATATGTGTCTTCAGCACAGTGCCGACGCTCTAAGACTTTATTGTGTATGATGTAGCCAGCGTTACTAAAGCACTCAGTTGGGAAACTTGCTTTTCAAACCGAGACCGCCCAGACCACTCGTGTCCACCAAGATCAAACTAATAGCTCCTTCCCCTGGCAAATAGCGAGCGCTCGCCGAGCGGATTCTTGTTCCCCTTGCGAGATGAGAGCAATCTCTCCATGTGCCGCTTGTAGATCCGGAGCCAGTGGGGCGCTCGCCGAGCGGCTCCAACCGCTCCGTGGAAAAGTGGCGGAGCGCGTCGAGTGGTCCGGAGTAGTTCTCCGCGCAGCCTTTTTCGGAGGAGTACGATCTGTAGTCGTCTTTCGCAGCGTTTCAGTTTCGTTATCGACATTCCCGCGGGGGAGTGAAGGAATTTTGCGGCTTTTTTGTTTCGATTGCAGGGTGGGCTCTCTTGGTGTGCTTGTTTTCGTTCCCCTCGTCATAACCGACTCGCCCGAGCATACTGCGACGAAGACATCGTTACAGTTAATTTCAGGAGGTTTAATAAAAAGCAGTGACAGTGACGAAGATAGCAGCTTAGCTCCAGCTCGAGTGACGACGAGGCAGCCGTTCTCGGCGGAGTGTTTGCCGAGTCGTTTGGCTGGCCAGCGAAGAGGTCCAAGATACCGCGTTACGTCGAAGGCGTTGTGCGCGCCAATTCGGATGAAGAGCTCGGTATATGCCGTTTGTACGTTTTGTGGTCTCTGTACTGTAATTGGAATAATTAGAAGACAACACGCCAAATACTCTGCAGATGGAAGTCGTCTTCGGAGATGACGATCGCTCTACGGCATATGTGTTTGATATTGCCTAATATCATCCTACGGCTCGTACAAGTACTTCTAGTTGTCGTCATCGGGCTTATATAACTGTAAGGAAATATAAATGGTGTCTTAACGTCGGGGTCACCGTTAATCAAGTAGTAAACAATCAATTTTTTGTCAAAGCATAAAGTTCTGATCAGAACTTCATGCTTTCAGCAAGATAGCAATGGGAACCGCAACTGTTCAAAAGCGAGAGTAGACGCTCTGGAAGTGGTGGCGCTGGGAGCGCGCATTGCTCCGCAGCGCGTGCCACTGGGATGGACCACGTGACCGATCGCTCACGGAGGCTGACCGCTCGACGACCGCTAGCGCGGAGCGCTCGGCATTTGCCAGGGGAAGGGGCTATAATAAATCGGAGCTGTTTATACTGAAATAGTTTGGCCAATGGGCGGAGCTTGTTGCCCGCTAGAACCAGCGGATTTCGGGATAACACAATATGGCGTTCTTCTTTGTCTTGTTTATTCCGTTTATTCCTGAGAAATCGCATAGAGTTCCAATGAGTCAGCGCCACAAAATGGTGGACGGAAGTAGGGGAAGCAGTCAATGTCATCCCCCGGTTGTCAGACTACGCTGCTGTGGTTGGCAGGCTGTCAAGAAGGCCAAACTCTCAGTATAAACGGCTCTGAACTAAATCGGAGCCGTATATGGGGAGAGTTTGGTCAGTCTATGATCTCACCGCCGTAACGCTCTCCTCCCAAGTGAGCCAATCAGCACCCGGCGTAGAGCGACAGGCATGAGCGCATGCGCGTGAACTCCCGGCTGCTCCCACCTGAGTGGGGAGGGCCGCCATCTTCGATCATTCTCCCGGCGGAATGCGTGGGATCGGCATCTAAATCTCGATTATTGCCTTTTATGTCGCTGGCTCTGGCAAGAAAATGACATTCTGTTATTCCTCGGTGGGTTAAAAAGCTAATAAATGAAGATTTTTCGGCGTATGGCCACAAACTTTTATTCAGGCGAAAAAGAAGTCGGCCCGTAGCAGACGACGCGTAGCCTCAGCAGTGCTCTTCTCCGACCAGTCTCCGACAGCGTTGCTCAAATATGGCGGTCGTCTCCTCTCTGCTCCCTTCTTTCTCTCTCGCTCCTTCGGCGCTCTCCTCCCTTTCATTTACTTTTCTCCTCTTCGGCGCCTTCGTCGCCACACCCACTGGCCAAACTCTCCCAATATACGGCTCTGACTGCTCTCTGCTCTCCGTCGACGCCATCAACGCCGTGCAGGCCCAGCTGGCCGTGCGGAGCCGCGGGGCGAGATCATTGTTTGTTTAGACGAACATAAATAAAAGAGCATTGTCAGGGTGGATATTTAAATAAGGATTAAAAATACTAGTTGTATGCCACTCGCAAAACACTAAGGGAGCCGGCGGCCGGATGGGACACGTTCGGTTCGGGTTCATCGCAATAACAATATAATGGTTCGGGTTCGGGTTCACTTCCGGAAAAAATACCGGTTCTGTTCCGGTTTTCGGTTCGGTTCGGTTCCGGTTCGACACCCTGCTTTTTTTTCTGTAATCGGCTACGGGAGACTCACCGCAAAGCGGCATGTACGGGTCGGTCGAGTGGGTTACCATTTTTGTAATGAGTGGCCGCAGATTGTCGCCGTGAAGTGGCATGAACGCAGGCGAGGGGTGGGTTAACACGCACCCCAGTAGTACACGTGTGACGAAATGTCCCTACAGCGTGCATTTCGCGTAATGAGTGTCGATGAAATAAATGTGTCGGCGAAACGCGAGTCCATGAGACGTGTAAATGAAAAGTTGTCCACGAAACGTAATTCCACGAAACAAGTTTCGACGAAATGATGGGGCCCAATAGATGGCCGAACCAGATTAGGTGCCTGCCAATAACTGCGACTAGTGTGCATTGACGTGAGGTCGTGTCCGCTACCGCCGACAATCCGGCAGCTTCAGATTACGAACCGGAAGGACAGGAGTCTTCATCTGATGGTAAGCTATCGTCGCCTGAATTTCGAGAAGCACAAAATGCGCGCGTGTCAGATGTGCAGAATGTCTAGTTGAAAACCATAAAAAACCATAAATAGCCTCAGCAAAGTGGAACACCGCGCAAATAAAGACAACCAATAGCAATACCTCTGGTGGTATACGCGGTTTCGTGTTAAATGTGTAATCGCCACCATACATGTGCGGCGATGACCGCCAAAAGGGTAAGCTGGAAGCAGGCATCTAGGCGTGGGAGAGTGTCGAGAAGGTGGACATATGTACAGGCCTGTTAGTGACCGCTTTGTGCAGCAAAAGAACTTTAAATCAATAAAATATGTCTCTCGTTGGAGAAAAACATTCTCCAATTCACTAGATTTCAAACGACAAGGATGAGATAATTTGTTTTTAACCTGACGACAAGGATGTGATTATCTCTTCATATCCTGGTGACGAGTGTGGGATCACTTGTTCTTACCCTGGGGATAAGGATGGGATAGTTTAATTGCACGGCTGTGATTTTTTTATAGAGGTTTGTTTGATTAGGAGCAAAACATTCTTCACCGATTCAGGAAACTGGCGACGGGGATGGGAATCTGTTAACCTGGCGACGAGGATGGGATGTGTCCGTTATGAGATGTAGTGCCATCAGCAGCGATTTTTAGGGACGCTTTTGTTAGACAGGAAACATTTTCCATAAACCTCGCAGACGCCCAACACACGACAACCCGACCAACGACAAACAACACACCGGCTCGCTTATGTAGCTGTTCGGCAATGATGATGATGGTTTGCATCGCGCCATCTATTGGCGCTTTCCGTTACTATGAAAATCACTTGACTGTGTGTTGTGTGGCAGTGCGCAAGCGACAAAAATGAATAAAACCTTAAAGGATGCGGAGACTTGCATTGTTTAATTAAGAGATATATCCTTACGACGATCAGATCCTCTAAAAACTTAGCATTTTGGCGATAGCTTTGGAAACAGAGGCGCAAGGAGTGTTTCTAATGAACGGCTCACTGCGGATGGCGCCTACCCTGTCCCGGGGTGGACCGGATTTCAACCATACTTACCTGGTGCTGGGGCTACCTTGATCAGCCAGGAGCTGCCTCCAGGTAGAGTGTGGCCAGTGCACCTCAGCTGTGGTGACCCTTGCCATTATCTCAAACTGGGAGAGATTGGGCATGCAATTCTTGGTAGTGGAAGTCTGCATTCACGCTGTCCCTCCGAAACTGAAATCTAAAAGGTGATTCAATTTACTTTGGTTATATTACATTAGCGTTTTTTGTAAATTGGTATGGCCTAAAATTGCCTTCGAGGTTCTGTTTTTTTTAAATTGTTTCTGGCCAATCACTTTTTGGTCATATCAGCCGTTTCACGGCTGATATGACCAAAATGATATGACCAAATGATATGACCAAATGGCTCCAACGCTGCCATTTCTCCCGCAGTGGCCACTCCGGGAACTGCACGGTGTCACTAAAGGGTGGTGCTGTTACTGTGTTCCTTCTAGAGTTCCTGTGTAGGCTTCCTACAGGAGCCAGAGTTGCGTGTCTGTTTTCCACGTGCCGCCGCGATCACGTGAGGAGCTGGATCAAATGCGGTGCAGGAAAGTAGACGTTGCGTGCCCCCCGGAGTACGTTCCCCTGCTTTTGCGCGCGCCGCGTGCATTCGCCAAATTCAGTCACGTGAGGAGCAGGCTCAGCATGCCGTGCAGAAAAGACAGCACTACAAGGATGAACGCGCCACTCTGGCTTCTGGAGGGAGCCAGAGTGGCGCGTTTATCCCCGTAGCGCAACTCTTTATAAGGAGTATTCACTGGGTGCCATATTTGTGGGTGCTGTCTAGAGCGCATGCTCAGAACAAGCCTGCATTAATAGGCTGCTAAGACTGTCAATATTGAGGGTGCAGAATGCATGTTACAAAAGAACTGTGGAAGCTCGCCATCAGCACGCACTCAGCAGTCGCGCACACAGCTATGGCCGCCAGTGAATATTTCCTATAGGAATTAGTCATGCGCAACTCTGGCTCCCTACGGGAGCCAGAGTTGCGCATGACTAGGTCTTACTAAAGTCACTCTATTCTGGGAGAGGTGGCACCATTCATCGTTGTGTAAATGCTTGAGAGACGTGCCGTGCGCCACTTCTGGGAAGAACATGGCATCTGAAATCTAGCTCAGTTAGTGTGTCCTAGAAAGGACGAGTGAGACCACCGGAGTGCTCTTTCTGCACCTCCGCATGTGGAAAAAAAAGTCATTGCGCTCCAACGCCAAGCTCGACCGGCACACTGGTCAAGGTCATAGAAACAATAGAACACTGGGCTATATTTGTTATAGAACCTAGACGTCAGGCGTCGCGTCAATATATAATATCACCGCGACCTGACTTGTCGTCAAGAGTGCCATGCGACATCATGATGTCGCCTTGACATCGATGTCGTCATCGACGTTGACAACGTGTGTTACAGGACATAAAGGTTGCGTTCTGACGTTATGTTGCATTGGCAACGACGATGATGTCATCGTTGACGTCGACGTCAAAATGACGGCGTCCTTGTCAATGCGTCATCATAAAGACGTTTGGTGTTAGCTCGTCGACATGATGCAACTCGACGTCATGACAATCTCTCTACAGTGTCACGATGTTGACTTCCTCGTCCACGACGTCAAGACTTCGTTGTGACGGCGCGTCGACGTCATTGTTGGCAAAGGCGACTACGTTGCACGTCGCCAAGGCTTCGTCGTAACGTTGTTGTGACGTCCTAGCGATGTTTGACGTTGCGTGGGGTGTTTTCTTCAACTTCGGTATCGACGACTATGTCCACGTCGTCCTCGACGCAGCGCAACGTTGTGACCGTTCGCTACAACGGTGACTTGATGTTACGTAACGGTGTCGTCCTCGATGCGATGTCACAACCGCGTTACAACGGCGACTTGATGTCGTGAAACGACGTCGTCCTCGACGCGACGCTATGTCACGACAGCCTTAGGACAGCATCTTGGTGTTGCATAACGCCGTAGTCGACGATGACGTCGTCGTGACGTTGTGGTTTGACATTGCCTTCGACATCAAAATCATAAAAGATACAATATGACCTTGACCTGTACCGTCGCTCGCTTCGATTGCAGCGAAGGTGGCGCTGCGATCGAAGTGGCTCTTAGTTCCACCTGATAGCTTTTTACATTTTGAGGTGCTAATGAGAGCATGAGCAGTGCCTGTAGCTCGCCCCACTCCAACGTTTCTAGTTCACTCTAGCCCAGTGCTGCAGTGTTGCGGAGTTGCCACTCCGGAGTTGGAATGATTCCGGAATCATTCCGCGTTTTCGCGACCCCGGAATGGAATGGGAATGGAATGGCGGCAACGTTGAGGGGAATGGAATGGGAATGGAATTGGATGCCCTTTGCCTGGAATGGAATGGGAATGGAATGGACCCGGTTCTTTATTTTATTTTATGATTTTTTTTTGGCCGGGGGGGGGGGGGGGGTTACATTCAGCTAAATCGAGCAAGTCAGCGAGTCAGTTGCTCAGAAATAAAATGAGCAGCGGGAAACTGCTAGCCCATGTGGAGCCCTAACAGACTGTGCGCAAAACAATGCAATACTAAAAACAAGCGTCAAAGTAAAGAGCAGAGTGGGGAGGGAAGAGGGGGGGGGGGGTGGCGGTTGCGCCTTTCGCGGACGCACTGACGGCGGGCTTCACTTGTGTTACACGAGAGCGAAACAAGAAACCGAGCGCCAAGCAAAAGAAACGACGCGAGCGGCAAAGGATGAAACCGCCATGCACGGCTCCTCATCATTCCTCTTGTCTTGTTTTTTTTTTCTCGTTTTTTTTTGTGACGGCATGGAGTGTGCATGCGCGTGCACAGACTGAGATCTGGGAACGGGGGCGACTCATCATAACTCGCAAAGCTCTGATAACTCATTGACTCGCACGCCGCCGAACGATTATCAGTTATTGTTTTCTAATAAATCGAGGAGCGTTGTTTAGCAGGTGGCCAACCCTGCTGCCTTCCACGTTCTTTCGCGCGCACTCCTTTGAAGTGCGAAATATGGGTTTGCTTAGGCATAAAAAAAAAGCCAGATTCACTTCTCTCTTCTCGTCTTGTTCTTTGCTGTGACGCCTTTTTTTATACTGCATTTTTACGTGTAAGTACGCCTTTTACTTGGTCTTTGTTTCGATGCTTGTTTTCTGTGTTAGATGTTTTACATTCAAGTGGGTTAGGGTTACAAGCAAGCTAGTTGATGCCCGCTCATTTCCTTTGACTTTAGTCTCTGCATACCTTGTTTCACCTTGCAATGGACCGCTTCGGACGCTACGAGTCACCCCAGGCAATCCAGCATCGTGAGCTTAGGAAAGTCGGTAATTTCCTGAGGCATTTAGCATTTTTTTTTTTTGCAATTGCCTATGCGTTTGATGATGTCAGCTTTATGCTGCTTATGCCGGCAAACACAATGTAGCTGTGAAGTGCCAATTTTTACGTTTAGGAATCGAAGGAATGGAATGGAACGATTCAGCCATTCCAGGAATGGGAATGGGACCAGTGCCCCCCTTCCTAGGAGTTGAAAGGAATTGAATTATCGATAACTCTAATTCCCCGGAATGGAACTGGAATGGAATGGGGGTGCCCATTCCGCAACACTGCAGTGCTGTGCTCTGCCGCCATGATCTTCCCAAGGGCTGCTTGTTGCACGTGCCTCGTGCGCTGACGCACCTTGAGCTTCTTTTAAAACATGAAGTGGCTTTAATTCTGACACCATTTGGTTCTCGAGTATGGATTGAAGGCACTTTTTCAAAGTATGGCAGCTTCCCAACTGAGTTCTAGTAACGTTGGATGAAGCTATCAAATTAATGGCATCGGAGTTTTGGAGACATGCGGTTATATTTCTCACGAATGTAACGAGTCGCATTGAAGCAATATTTTAAAAGTTCCCTTGCCAGAAAAAGTCTGTTGTCGTAGATTACCGGCAGTCCATGTCCCAGGTTAGAAATAAGATAGAGATTATGGACGGAAGTTAATGTCCACTCGGCTAGCTACATTATTAAACACTGCTCACTTGATATTTTACTGCGAGTATCACCGTAAAGCAGACGCAGATTACTTTAAAGCGTGTAACGACACAAACCACACATTCGTTTTTTCCCGCGAAGACTTCATCCACGGTTGCGTATCTTTTGAATTCCACATAATTATTCTCGTTTTCCCAGGGTAGGTGTAATATATATATATATATATATTTTTTTTTTAATATAGAATATCTATTTGAATAAGTTTAAGGAGTGAAATACATGCCTCTAGTTTCGAATAAACACAAAAAACACGTTTACGTCTGGCGGATGAATACGTACACGAAAGACGGTGGGTTCTATGCCCAAGCGAAGGCACTATGTTTCCTACACTGCTCATGTAACAGTTTACAACCGACAGCGCGCTCGGTTCCGGTAGTTTTCGAGCGAGCGAGAAGGCGAGAGGAGTCCGTGCGGGGAGCAAGTGTATGGCTGGTTGTTGTGGGAAGTTTGGTCGGTGGCATCTTGATTGCCTTGGACGTTTTCAGGGTAGTAACGTTATCGTTATGGTCGTGTTATGATACGTTCGCGTGGTCCCCAGCTGCGGTTCAAGGTAGGCCCTAATGCACGCTTCGATACTTTGCCCACTTTTGTTTTCTCGTCTGTGCACGTGACACCGTTTCTAAAGCGCGGCTCGCGTCTGGTCACAGCTGACTCTTTTCGGTCCGTTGTGCGAGGACTGTGTCCGTTTCCCCAAACCACACACACAAAAAAAGAAAAAAAGTTGGTCGTTTTTGTTTGGCGTTAGCGTTTATTTTTCATGGACTCACAGAAGCGGATAATCTGTCGGTGTTACTGAGTGAAGGCGCCACAATGCGATAGCTGCGAACGTCCGACAGATGTTTGTGAACTGAAACGAGTGGTGTTATTTTTTTTTTCCTTAATGTTTTAGGTTCAACTTTGCGGTGGTGTTCGGCGTAACATGTGCCCTGTGGAGCGAACATAGCCAAAAGGATGACATACTGCCGTGCTCTGGGTGAGTCAGTTATAACGCCCTACGCCTTCGGGCATCTCAAGCTGTTGTTTTGAATCGTTCGCCTTGTCTGTTTCTTTTTTTGGCGACATGAAACGTTACAGACCGGTTTCGCTTGGCCGGCGGTGATGTTTATCACTATCACTGCCTGCTACTCACGTAACGAAACACTGCTTCTTAACCTTGACACCGCTCGCTTCGAACTGAGTTGTATCGTTTTTCTTTTTCTTCTTTTGTATGGGTACACGCTTAGGCGCACTTAATGGTTGGTTTTCCCGTTTCATGTTCACTTTGCGTTTACAGCTACTGAGGTGCAATTAGATTTTTTTTTTTTTTATGGAATGCAATTTGCGGAGTTAATGATATCTGTTTGTGCAAAGCATGACCGCTGAAATGATAATATCTGATACTGGCAGCTGGCATTACTTTAGGTGTTGCTGTCCGAAACTGGATGCGCTAAGATAGAAGTGGTTCCAGAGCAGGCATTTATAGGTGTAATCTTTCAGATAAAGCAAACAAAAGGCCCCAGATAAGGTTAGAGCTGGAATGTGGCAAGCAGATACAGCAATAGAATGCAATTAGTGGAATTGCATTCCATTAATTGTGCAGATTCTGAACCGTTTATATACAGGGTGTCACAAAAGAAAATTTACAGTCTTTTTAACCGCAAAAATAAACTAGGCATCGCCGAACGCTCATTCTCCGCCCAAAGGTAGAGCTAAAGGTCACAACCAGATGCCAAAGTTTCAGCCCGATCTGATAACTTAATCAAAAGTTATATGTGATTTTCTGAAAATTTAAATGGGAAAATGGCGGCCAACGGACTTTTCAAACACATGGGGCTTTATAGCACTAGAAACCGAAAACGGGCAAATATTGGCTCCATTTTCCCATTGAAATTTTCAGAAAATCACTTATAACTTTTGCTTAAGTTATCGGATCGGGCTGAAACTTTGGCATCTGGTTGTGACCTCTAGCTCTACCTTTGGGCGGAAAATGAGCGTTCGGCGATGCCTAGTTTATTTTTGCGGTGAAAAAGATTGTGCAAATTTTCTTTTGTGACACCCTGTAGAATGTCTGAAATACGGAGGCTGGATATAAAATGGGCTGTAAAAATCGGCTCCTGCACGTAGCAATTTAAACTTTCGTCTAAGGTATATCTCACGGGTAGGATTTACCTTGTAAAATTACAAAGTGTAGCCCCCTTTCTATTAAAAGAATGCGGTTGAAAAACCTGCCAGGGTCAATGGCAATGCGGATGACCAAGTCTAGCAGCGGGGCGCATTTCACGGACATATTGATAGATGGCGTTGGGAGCAATGTCGGAAGGTAACCGACCAGCGAAAGAAATCAAACCACACTCGACGAAATCCGTGAGCAGCAAGAGAGCGGTGGTTATTGAACCACATTTTCGTTTATTTTTGTTACTTCAATTTTTGCTATCATTGTCGGCATTTATTTTTAAACCTAAGGTGCCTTGCAGGAAATATGTTAATTTTAATGGACCACGGTTGTTGCCAGCAGTCTGAATAAGGAGGTAGCGCCATCTATCAATATGTGTGCCAAATGCACCCTGCTCCTCGATTCAGTCGTCTGCATCGCCGTTGGCCCTATTTTTTAAAGAAAGGGAGGTGCAGTCGGCAGCAAAAGTTTGTGGGGCACGGGAGCGCGGGCCAAAAACGGCGCAATGCCGCTCAAGAATTGCGCATGCACTTCCTTTCTTGTTCGCAGTCATGTTTATTTTGCTCGCTTCCATTCAACGCCCGATAACAAAGACTGGCGCAAGTTGCTGCGAAATGTTATCTGTAGCATGCGTGAGCTAACTCCCCCATACAGTGGTGGCTGAGGCAGACGTGCGGCATTATGGCTGACAAAGCAGTACCTTGCGCCAGTCCAGTCCCGGTTATCGTATGCATCTCGGGCGGAAGCGAGTGAAAAAGACGTGACTGCGAGCACGAAAGGAAGCGCATTCTCGAAGCGTAAGACTGGTACACTGTAATTTTACAGGGTAAAACTCGCCTTTGACAAAACTTTTAGATTGCTAGTTGCAGGCGCCGATCTTTACGACCCAGTTTAGATCCAGCCTCGGTATTTTAAACTGTCTGTATAAGTTTATGCACTCAATGCCTAATTGTATGAGTAGTTTGCTTCAAGTGCCTACCATCAGGCAAGTATCTGTCATCTGTACAATGTCATCATTTTATGATTACACTCCGCGCTGCGCAGCGCAGCGGCTCTTCCAACTCTGAATAAATAGTTCTGATATCTGCTTGAAGTGCTCCTTTAAAAACAAAATACTTTGGAGGACCTCAGACAACCGGTATTGTGGTGAAAGGCAACTTAAATACGGCATCACAGTGTTACAAAATTTTTCACTACGCTGATATGAGAATTAGCAAGGTCAGGCTGAAACCAAGGACTTTGGTGTTGTACAGATTATTTTATTCCCTGTAATTATTGTCTTCTCCACATAAGCAGTGTAGTCGTGATAAAAACTGGATTGTTTTTCTTAAAGGGATGCTGAACCGAAATTTGAATTTCCTAAAACACGCGGCAAAAGCGTGCAACGGGATGCTACAAACACCAAAGCATCACTCATACAGCGATATCTCGAACAGATGACCGTATTTTTCAAAAAAGGAGGCGCATTTGGCAGGAATGTTGACGTCATGTTTCTCCGAGGAGAGAGAACGGCCGCGCGTCTTCTCCGCCTCGCGGCCTTGAGGGAGCGAAGCGAAGAGAGGAGAAAACACGGTATCTTGATGTCACGCGCCTCGACGGCCTGGTTCAATCTCGACCTATTTTTCCAAAAATACGGCCGTCCATTCGAGATATCGCCTAGCGAGTAGTTTCTGTAGGGATTGTAGCGTCTCGCCTACATCTCCTGCATTGTTTTTTTTTTAAATCCAAATTTCGGTTCACCATCCCTTTAATGGGATGTGTCATGGGCGGCAGACAGTGGCGTAGCCAGAAAATATTTTCGGAGGGTGTTTCAGGGCGCTGGTGCAAACATACATGCACAAAAGAAAAAAGATATATATAATGTAAAATTTCAGGGGGTGTTCTGACACCACAACAGCTATGCGCCTGGCGGCAGATACTTCTGAAATATTTTGACATGCGTTATTATCACACACGACTTGAGAAAGAAGAGAGGCGGGCAGTTCCAAGCCTTAATTCTGCAATTCTTGACCAATTGTCATCTAAAAAAAAAAAAAATCTAATTGAGTTGCAATTTTTTTTTTTTTTTTTGTCTTTATAGTTTAGCTTTAACTCCCACGCTAGTATTTCCTCTTTTACAAGTCCTCTCTCTCTCGCACATTTCATGGCCCCTTTAACCAGGCCAACTTGTCAGGTGCCAAGCACTTTCAAACACTATTGTTCAAGGCCATAATCGCCCCTCGAACACCAGGAATAGGATTTATGTGGTAGCCTTGAAAGGGGCCACATTTGAAATGGAGAGTTGGGGCACGTTTGGGGCAGTTTTCCTAGCGGTCGGAGCTTCCAAAGACCTTTGTTTGGCTGCTGTCCAGGTTTTATTTATTCCTCCCCTCTTGTCAAGCATTCATGTACAGGTAGCGACTTTATGACCAGCTGGAGGAAGGTGGAGGCAGATATCGGCTCGGCAATTGTTGTCTCCTATGCATGGAGCAATGAATTGGAAATACACGACGACAGCGTCTTTTGTTTCGGCCTGGTTCTTCTTGATAGACTTCCTGTAATGGGAGAACATGCGTGACGGGCTCCTTGGGCTGAGAGAGACGGAAAGAGGGGGGCACCCAGCTGCACGTCTTTGTTTGGCAACCTCGGGTTTGAAATTTAGACGGTATTGAGTTGCGGCCTTACAGAAAATTGATATACGGTGGAAATTCGGTAGACCCGTTAAGACATTTTAGTCCGTTCTGGGTGAGTGGGAACGTGGGGAAATGGAATCTTTTTATGGATTGCATATGTGAGTGTTTCCTTGTTAACATACTGTATTGTCAGTGGTTGGCCTTTCGGTTGTCTTGGCTCGAGGCTTTCATCCTCAATTGTGATGGCAACCACTTGGAGGTAGAACATAAAAAAACATAGACTGAACCAAAATTTTGTTGTAGCAGATCTTGAAGTTGGGAGCTCTAGTTGGACGGCGTTCTCGTATGCACCTCAGAGCAAAGAAAAGTAAGAGCGTTGCAACACAAAGTTGTCCTATGTTACCACTTTAAACCAGATGCATACACATTAAGGCACCTTAGCGTGCGAACTTGGCATACTTCAGAGGGCGACATATTTGTGTTGGACGAGGAATAAATGCCTCCTTGTCATTCTAAAACTCTTGAGGAGAATGCCACAAATTCAAGGTCGTGCAAGTGAGCTGAGGTGCCCCATAATTTAGCAGGGGATTATTCTGATGCAGGCATTTTGTGACAGTGTTATTTACACATTAAGAGGAATGACGGGTGGCGTAGATAATTCTGTCTCTTTCCGAGGCATTTCGGGCATCCTCCATCTGCTTAAAGGGGCACTGACACATCAAAATCATATTTTTTATTATTATCCAAAACAATTGAAAACGATGCTGGGACATTACCCTCACAATTCGAAACTTGGGAATTCAGTATTTCTGAATTAAAAAAACAATATCCAAATGCCGAATTTGAAGTTCCCGCGTGATCCGCGCCAGTGCAGTGAGTCAAATGTTGCGGTCTCCTGCGACTCTACTTTCTTTGGGACCTTCGCCGTTGCCACCGCGATCCGAAGCGAGGAGGAGGTGACCAGGCGGGATAGAAGAGCGCCGGCACGGGAAAAAATCTGTTTCTTCCCTGACTCGCCGATCATCCTCTGCTCGAGCGCCGCCAAGTTTTCTGAGGGTGGATACAAATCCAGGAAGCAACATCACACCGAAATCTGATTTTTGGTATTTCAAAAAGAGGTCCCTAGTACGTTTGCAATTGCGTCAAAAACATGTTTTACGATTGGAACGAGAGGACACCCTGGCACCACCTGTCGGGTAGCAGTGGAACACTTGGTGGTCCTGTATATTTTCTATTTCTTTCGAGCATCATTCTTTCTCGGCTCGAAAAACTTTTGTCAAAGTTATCGGCAAACATTTCTCAAGTAGTACCTACATTTTAACCTTGTAGGTACTGCCAAACCTTCGCTCTAATGAAGTGCAGTTCCAGGGTCACCGCATAGATGGCACCAGCGTGTCTGTGTGTTCTCCTGTCGGAGAGGTTTTAAGGCACTCGGCTTTAAGGAGTTACAAGTGTGTGAATGGGCCTTAAGATTAAGCAGCTAACATCATACTTATATGAAACATTTAAACTTCACATTTGAACCTTAAGTTAGCTGATCGATTGCCTTTGAAGGCTTTTGGAGCAAAAGAGTCGTTTAGAAAGATTTTTAGTAGACCTTTGTTTTCTGGAAGGAGAGCAAATGATAATTGCTCTGTTTGTATTTCATTTCATTGCCTTTATGCAGGTACATTTATTACCACAATTCAGATGGCTTAAATTTAATCTGACATGTTTGCAACTTTTTGCTGATATTTCTAGTTGACCTAGATGCCGAGAAATCTCTCCTACTAAGTTTCTAGAAGGAAGTGTCTTTTGAACGAGCACCATTTTAGCATCAAGTTAAATTCAAAATAATCCCGCATAGTTATTACAAATTAATATTATGGCTCCAGTATTCTCACACAAAATTAGAATTACAAACAGCCTTGTTTTTAAATCGCTTCACAAAGTTAGTTTGTATAAAAGTGCACTCAAAAGGGGTTCACCGCAGGGAGCAGGTGTTTAAGAGCAGCTGTGTGGTTCATGTTATGCGACCGTGCTCTCCCTCTGTTCCGCTGCGCTGACCCTTCTCTTTGGTGGCGCGACGCGTGCGGCAACACCCCTGCTCCGCTTGCGTCACATGGCCGCCCAAGCGTCTAGTTTTTGCATATCTGGCACGCTCTTTGCATTTTCAGCGGGTTGTGTAATCTGTGCTGCTTCGCTTTCGTGGGCGACTTTTTGGTCTTGCCTGCATCCCCTTGATTCTCGTCCTGTTTTTGTTTAGTCCAATTTTTCTCGTTTCTCGTCCTGCTTTTCTTTATTTTTTTTGTTGCTGTCAATGCTCTGGCAATTTTCTCAACAGTTACGCTACTTAGTAGATCCGTATTTGTAATTTTCTTTACAATAATAACTGTTGTGGGCTCTTCCGCCCCGCTCGAAAAAACAATTGTGTAGGGCGCTACGTCGTTGATGTTGCCAGACGCTTGAAAACTAAAATCCCCCCAGCCCACCGAGGTTTTATTGAGATTTGATCCAGAGCCCACAGATCATGAAGCGAGTGCACTGCCATAGAGCGATGCCAGCTGCTTCATTGCTCCATCTAATAAATTGTGTGTGTTAGGACTAGGGATGTCGCAAAGTTTTGTCGAACCTCTATTTGATGTCAAACCTGGAGGTTCGACTGGTTCGCCGAACCTTTGAATGTTCACTGAATTTCGAAGCAGTTCAACTTATGGACAGTGTTGCCCGGCTTCTACGCGAATATTTCAAATTTTGGGAAACAAATGGCTTAGAAAGTAGTTTTTTATATTTTAAAAAATGGTCACCAATGTTTTCACTATAGAAAAGTGAAAATATGTGCTTTTAATGCTTCTATTAGTTAGTAATGTGACCCAGTGATGCGAATACACCCAACAAATATTGCACTTTTCCTCCACCAGGTGGAGTCGATTCTTTTTAAAATTTTCGCACATGCACTTAACTTTAGTTGAACCTTTGTCGAACATCACGTTGAAAGTTTGTATAAGTCTAACTTGGTCCAACTCGAACCTGGGCAGGTTCCCCTAGTTAGGACATCCCTAGTTGACTGCTGTGCATACAAGTCTTGCTCAGCTCCCCCCCCCCCCCCCCCCCCCCCCTGCAAGATACATAAAGATACATAGATAAGATAAATAGATAAGATGCATAGATAAAAATACAGTAAGTGCAGCTGCTGCTACAACTATCGTGGATTCACACCAATCATTTTCTTTTTTTTTTCTCCCTTAGTATGTTCACTTTCACTTTTTTGTTTTCGGCGTGTCCAAACCAGCCTGTCGGGGATTTCAACTACCAATTATAGTTGTCCCCGGTTTCAATAACAAAAAAAAAAACTGATTCACCATGAGAGAAAAAAAGCTGCATCACGTGTGCACCTCAATTTCCTTCGTGCACCGTGCTGCGCAGGCAGTGCATACGAGTACCTTTTCCTTTATTCCTTCGTATTACTTGTGCACTTTTGGCATGATACAGTAGTACTTTTTGGGGCAGCCTTCGAACAGGAAGAGAACAGCAGGGAAGACTGGAGGCCACCTCTCTGTTCCAGCTGTGCCACGCACTGCAAGCTTTGCAGGGAGTGAGAGAGAAAGAGAACAGTGTTTTGGAGCATTTTGCAGTCCTCTTATACTTTTCGATTTATTCAAAGTATAATAGATGCACGAAAACAAAGTATTGCTATAGTCGGTGACAACTCGAGAGGATAGGAAGAGGAAGAAATGGACGCAACGCTGGCGAGGGGAGGAGGTAACCCCTCTCTCGCCAACGTTGCGTCTGCTTCCTCCTCTCCCACCTTCCTTTCCCTTGCCCTACCTTCTTAACTGGCAACATACTATAGCGCCGTGCGTATCGCTCAATATCTTGCGGCTGGAAGCAAAAAATCGATCTACAAATGTAAAGGCTGGTTCACACGCTTGCATCCGACTGTGATCGACTGCGTTGCAACAGTTGCGACGGGAGTACAGTGGCGCCACCTATGCGGTAGCCTCAAAACACTTCTACTCTTTATATTTTATGCGTCATTCTTTCACCGTATGTTCGAAATAATTCCGGCACTGTTGTAAAACGACCATTTCTCGCAAATGCTTCAGAACCTTCAGTCTAGTCATAAGCAGATCGGGAGCGTTCCAGGGATACCCCATAGATAGCGCTAGTGTGCATTGCAATACATTCAATAAAAATCGTGTAGGGTGGAGGCTAGCCGACATAGGTTAATCATGAAGAGCACAACCCCGCAACTGAGACTGTTCTCAAATAGTACAATGCAGATACAACGGTCTGAGAATCTTGCGCACATTTTCCTGTGTCTGTACCATTGTCACAAAATCCGGCCGAGTCACATCCATTTTCCCGGCCAGCCTGATGTGTCCTTCCATTAAACTTGCGGGGCGTGGGGACTTTGACCCAGCTTCCCCTAAAACGAAGCGATGTTGTCTCTCTCTGGGGGTGGATAGAAAAATGAGGGGAAACTGCATGTTGCAATTTGGGGGTTCGTTGAGGGGGACTTTTTGGGGCAAAAGATGAACAGTGCGAGCGGGAAACGTGGAAGCAACAGGCGGGAAATTGTAACGTCGAGTCCGTGGAGCGCAACGGTAGTGGGCCAGATCTGGACGGGGGAAGACTTCGACCACGGTGTGTGTGTGTGTGAGATTGTGTGGCCACTTCAAGCCGCCCAACCCACCGTAGTCCCTTTGTACCATTCCTTCCCCCTTTAGACAGAGTTTCACAAGAACGTCACTCCCGGTCACTGAGACAAGATTTCCCCTCCACTCGCATTTTTTCTTTTTTGTTATATAGTAATTAAGGTAGCGGTAATTGTTTAGTGTGATTTTATTCTCGCAGGTGTCAGATTTTATTATTTTGACAACGTTTAAGTAATTTTTTCCATGTTCAAAGAAGCGCCCGCAGAAGAGGTGTTTAGTGCACTGTACTAAGCTGTAGACTTTGATTTTTGAGTAATTAGTTGTGTGTCAAGTGTGTTGCTCTCGCCGCCCGTGCACCGGTCGGGTGAAGGTATGTACGAGTCCTGTTGTTTTCACAGCTCGGCATTTGTTAACCATTTTTTTTGTAGTATTGTTTTATTTTTTGTCTTTTCAAGTCGTAGTTGTATTAAACTCGTTTTGTTGCAAAGCTGTGGTACCCACTTCATTTGCGGGAGTCCACCGAGGCGTGGACCTATCACCTGGTCGGCAGTTCTCCGTGTTTAAGCGGAGAATATCAGCAAACCTGTGACAACCGTAGAGTTAATATAATAGTCTAGAAAGAAAAGGCCCATGCATTCAGGTCGCTTTGTAACGGTGGAACATAGACCCAGACATTGGTTGTCCCCAAACATGGTCCCGACGAGCCGATATCGCTGGCGACACCTTAATACCCACAAAAAAGCGGCAAAACACCACCTGTAAAGTCAGCAACCACCGCAAGATGTCGAGCATCTGCCCTTTCTACAATAAACGCTCATTCCTCAGTTTGGCAAAGGTCGGAAAATACACAAAGGATGATGTGAATGTGTTCGTGACCTAAGAAGCACACATACCGAAGTTTTATGTGATTATCTCCAAAGTTTCAGTGGGCGCTTGCCCGGGATTTTCCGGTAGTTCTTTTCTAGCTTACTTCGCTGGAAAACACCGGTATCTCGCATTGTATAAGAAGAAACAAAGTCGACGAGTGCTTGAGCAACTTCACCTCGTTGAGGTGAAACAAACTTGCATGCCTAACCTTTCGTCTGCTTTCTCTCTGTGCTTCCCTGTCGCTCCCTTTCCCATTCTTTCTCTCGGGACCTATGATGATGGCGGTTAGGATTTGCTGTGTTCTGCTTCTGTCTTTACCACCCTTGGTGTGAACTGTCCTTTCTTGGGGTTTTATTATTTACCCCACACTTTCCATCCTTCAAAAATTTCTGCGTAAAAGCCCGCATTTCTTGTTTGGCGGGAAGAGTAAACGCGAGTAGCGATTTGCCGATTGTACTGGGGAAACAATGGTGCTTTCTGAAGTGACAGATTTATGACAATTACAAACATTATTTTACCATTTGGTCTCTGGCCTGCTTTCAATAATTTGTGCACTTTTTTTTTTACAGCCGTGGTGGCCGTAGTTGGCTTCCTGCTGATGATACTAGGAGGTGCTGGGGTCCTCTTTGTGCCAAAGCTGTTTGTCAGCATTGTTTTGAAGGTGCGCCTTTCCTCTTTGACAGCATCCTCCATCTTTGTGAGCATTTGGCTGTGCCCCCTCTTGGGGCTTGTCTGTTTTAAATGGCTTCTTGCGTGTCTATCGAAATACAGCAGGGAAAGCTCAGGGCCTCAAAGTGTAAAATAGTTGTCGGGAAATGTGACCGACGATTTATGAGAGAATGATTCACAGTCTCTCTATTGACTTGTATTACAGGGGTATAACAGGGTCTGAAATATTATTGCTCATCAAAATTCGATTCTGGTTGATTTTTGCTTCCATAGTAAAAACTGACAAGTCCTTCGCATTAAAATTATGCCTTTAAAACCTTTACGTTTTTGCAGAGGATTATGGTGGTGAGGGCGCAGTTGTAATTCAGTTGCGGGTCCGAAGTCTCCCAATAAAATCTGGGCACTTCGTTGGACCGTGCCAGCTGCCTGTCATTGGTGCAGTACGTGAAACATGCTTCAATCTGGCTTAAAGGACGTTCCAGTGTCGCACGAGAGTTTGTAGCATGCATAAGCAGTCGAGGCTGCTGGCGAGAAGATCACACTATGAGGGTCCCTTCTCCAGTTTGTTTTTCATACAACTCGGTGTGCATGAGGGAACATCACTAGAGAAGGTGCAGGCAAGAGCCCTTGTCTTCCATCGCTCTGATCGAAAGAATGCGAGGAAGTATGTTTTGCAGAGGCATTCTGCTAGAGGTGCGACTGTTACATCTCCCTGGTAGTGCCGATATGGTGGTCTTTAAGTGAACGCAGCATAATTGGTAGGCTGAAGGTGACACCACCTTGCACGCGAGGGCTAGAAAAGGAAATGCTAAGTGCCAAGGGTGGATTGAGCACTTTATCTCACTCTAACGGCAGTCGGCTGTAAAGGGGAACTTGACCCCCTATATTTTTTTTATAGTTTTGCCTACTTCATTTTTTTTGGAACCCAATTGCTAAAGAATTAACTGGTCTTTGCCGCCGTGGCACTGCTACTAGCTTAGTGACAGTACCATGGTGACAACGAAGCACGAGGCGTAAGACCACTCTTGACTGCCGAAAGAAATGAGAGGTTTCCTCAGCTGCCCCTTTTAGCTCGCAGTAGTATTGAAGGCAGGGGTGCATGCTGGGGGCGGGTCATTCAAACGACCACACCACCATGCTCATCCGGTCAACGACTATAGGCCGAGATTCCAAACTAATCTGGGGAGTTCCGACATTGCCATGGAAAAATCTCTAGAGGGTTTGGAGTTGTCGACAGCATGCAGCATGGTTGAGTTGAGTATGTGGCCGTCTGTGCAGAAACTGCCACTGGTGAACGGCTCGGAGGCCTTTGAGCTCTGGCGCGACATTCCACTGCCTGCCTTCCAAAAGGTCTATTTCTTCAACCTCACCAATCCGTACGAGTTTCTCCAAGAGGGCAAAAAGCCCAAGTTGCAGGAGGTGGGGCCATACACCTTCAGGTGAGCCTTTGTAATTAGCACATTTTATGCTTCTAACTTGTGTCTCAATCGGTGACAGTCGCCTTTGGTCAATGCAACCAACTCCGTTTCTGTACAACAAGTCTTGTCAAACTCTATGCGGAGAGCAAGTCATCTGCTTCTTGTGCAGGAGTGCGAAAACTTGCAAAAAGAAGTTGCAAGGAGTGAGACGTGAAGTTAGACTGTTTCAGTGGCCATCCCGTATTGGCTCTTGCGAGAACTGCCGCCACCCCCGGGAGTTGGGCGCACCGTGCGCTGTTCACCACCGTACATTTGGGCTAATTTGCTAATCGCAATCAATAATACTCGTTTGCACAAATTAAAACAAAATAAGAACTTGTAAAATAAGCGCACAGAATAGCACAATGCTGCAGGTACAGCCGGTTGAACTTGTAACAAATCTAGGTGCTCTTGATATCGTGATTGTTTCGTTTTTGTCGGCAGTGGAATGTTTTGGTTCGATTATAAGTCCACCATGAACTTTAGATTTTCAAAATTGAAAAATGGTTCGACCTACATTCATGTAAATACGAGACTTTATATAAACTTTTTAATAAACATCTCTTTGTAGGGGGATGTGACTTGTACGACAGTGAGACTTGTATACTGGGAGATATGGGACTTATCTTATGGCATGTCTCTGTCTCTAACCTTTGAAGGGTGTCTATGGTGAAGACGAACATTGTGTGGAACCCCAACCATACCGTCTCCTACCGGGAGGTGCGAACGTTCCACTTCGACCGGGAGAAGTCTGTGGGAGGCCAGGATGACGTCATAGTCTCCATCAACGCCCTTCTGGTGGTAAGCAGGATGTTTTGCTCGCGTCGTTGAGTGCTGGTAACTTCTGTACTGTGGTCCCACATCTTCAGTAAATTGAAATGCCATTGCTACAAATATATGCCAGGTCTGTGAGAAAGTAAAACCTGGTTTTTCGACTAGCTTATAAATTAAACTATGAATTGCAGAAAACTGGAACTTGGTGAGAATCTGATTCTAGTGGTGGTGATAGAATGCAAAAAGATTATCATAGCATCAGATGGACCAAAAGCTAAAGCAGAAATACTTAATTTTTCTACAAGCAGACGTTTGTCCGAGCCCGATATTCATCAAACAAAGATGGGACGTTGTGTATGCTTGTGGCATTTACTTAAGTGAAAAAACTTGCCAGCAAGAAAGACGCAATGCGTTTTTTCTTGCTGTCAAGTTTTATTTATTTTTTCAAAAATAGATGTTACAGCTGCCGACGGTGTAATCTTTTAGTTTGCGACTTAGGCAAACGTTGGCTCGTAGCAAAAATTTTGTTTTTGTGTATTATCTTTCGAACCAGGTAACGTCATCATTTCAAACTTCCAGATTCTATTACTACTGCCAGCTTCTCATTTTTACAAAGTTCCAGCTTTTTGCGATGTGTAAGTAGTTCAGTGATGAAGCTTGTAATACATTCTTGTCTGCCCACTCGCACAATGTTTCAGGGTGCCGGAGCCCTTCTGAAACGTGCCAATCCGGCGTTGAGGTTAGTAATGGCCGTGGTCATCAACAAGCTCAACGAACAGCTGATTGTGAACCACACGGTTGGCGAGCTGCTCTATGACGGTTACCCGGACTTCCTGGCTGCTGCGAGCCACATGCTTGACCCGACCATTCCCACCTCGGACGGAAAGTTTGGCTATATGCACGGGGTAAGGGCAACGAAGGACTTGGCAACTTTGGCAGCCAAAGCGTGTTTATTGCACCATAAAGGCTGAATCGCATGTAAGCGACCTAGTGAGGTATGAGACGAGGGACAGCGACAAGAGTCGGCAAGGAGCGACAGAGGTTTCTCACTGTTGCGCGTCGCTTTGTTTTTCGATTTCTAGAAAACGTTGCTCATCGCTTTGGTTGCTTGATCCCGTTGTTTTCATACGGTCTGCCTCATTGCACTAGTGACTGAGCGACAGTGAAGAGAGTCGCTGTTGCTTGTCTCGTCGTTATCAAAATGAGTTACACGCAGCTTATACTTGAAACTTCAGCCTGCTGCGTCTGCGATTTGTGGTGTTCATTCCCGCGAGATAAGAGTTCTCAGCGGGTTTCCGCGGGTCCTTCGCACTGTGAAACGCGAATCTGCTGCATCCGCAACTGGCGGTATTCTTGCCCGTGACAAAGGAGTTTGTAGCGGATTCCCGCGAGTTTATTGCATTGTGAAAGGCAAATTCACGGTGTCTGCGATTTGAGGTATCTGTTCCCGTGTCACGTGGTTTGTGGCCAGTGCCAGGGTGTTTATCATCAAATTTCGATAAAGGTTTTGCTGTGGCATCCCCAAAGATAGCCCACCCCATGTTTTTCACCACTTATCTCTTTGTTTCGGGTGAAAGTTCTTTCGGAACTTCACGGTAGCCCCATTACAAAAGTTTTGACAGTGCCGTTTCCCTTTTTTTATTTTGTGTGTGTGCCTAGAGAAACGCAACGGATGACGGTCTCTACACAGTCTACACCGGAGAGGACCGGATGGACCTGTATAACGTCATTACTCGCTGGAATGGCAAAGAGTGAGTTTGACAGCCTTTAAAATAAATAAAGCTGCCCTTATTTGGTTATTTATTTATCAATACTGTCTGCCTCTCCTTTGAGTCCATTGCAGGAGACGTTGATAGTTCATGTAGTTATTGCAAAGGTGCAGCGAGCTCGACAGGAATAACGATAATGATCCCTGGAGAAGCGGAACACGGGTGTTTGTTCTTTGTCCCCCTCATTTCCCTTCTCCAGAGATATCACCACACTTGCACAAAGTTATCTCTTCTAAGGAGCACATGAGTGATATAGAATGAAAGCATATTCTTTTTTTATTGAAGAAACATGTTTTAATGAAGATTGAAACTGGAACATGTTAAAGGAGTTAGGAAAACACTCTGCAAATCTATTTTACTGTTCACTTGCTTCAACATAGAAATTATTGATTGAAAATATCTATCCGACTGTCGTAAAGTTGCACAATGGTTAACCACTCGGTTACTAGTCACGAATGTGGCTCATGCCAACAATTATAGACCAGAATGGCCAACCATTAGTCTGTTTCGTGTTTCAGTTTGGCAGCTTGTTTTGTCCACTCTTCGGCAGATGGGGCCGAGGATTGAGAGCAAGAGTAACGACCTGCATCAGAAAGCGGGTAGATGTTTTGTTTGGTTTTCGGGCAGGTGGCCAATATTGCCGCGCTCCAAGTAGGCAGCGCGGCTGTAGCCTAACGGTTATCGCGCTTGCCTCCCACGCGAAGGGCCAGGGTTCGATTCCTGGCCGCGGCTACGCATTTTTGTTTACACTGTAATGTGATGTTCTGGTGAGTTCGAGAACAGTCTAGCTGATTCGAGGTTAGAATGTTCTGCGCGTCGAACCTTCTACATCGAATGCTCCAGAAGCCAACGCGTGTACAAAAGCGGCCCCGCCTGGCAAGCAGGATTCAGTCTCGCCCCTGCGTTCGGCTCTGCTGCTACGCCGACTTCGACGCCCGCGATGCTCTGTTATTATCTTTTGTACCCTTTTATTTTTGGCACAAGTTCGCCACATTAAACATTTATTTCTTCCTTTTTATTTCCTGTTTTTTTTTGGTCACCACCCGTGACAATATTAAGTGGAGCTTTGTTGTATGTAGTATTCTGTAAACAAAAGTTATTATACAGCAGCTTAATCGCTCGCAATTTACGAGCTTTTTGTAGACCGATACATTCTTACCAAGAGTTGGAGTACACCAAACTGCTAATTTCTTTTTATGTGACTGGTTGCCTCGATTGTGAGGTCACCACAGGCTGTGGGGCCTCCTGGTAATCCTATCCTCTGAACATTTGTTTTAAAACTGACGCTCTCCAGAATGTGTCTACACTTCAAGTAGGAAAGTCTATCGACACATTTCTGGAACTTGAATGCTCAAAAACGACCTTAATTTCCCAGGAACTTGACGGCTTGGAAGGGCACGTGCAACATGATAAACGGCACAAGTAAGTGACCACTTTATTGGCTCTCGCTCGACTAATCTGAATGTGCCAGAACCTAATGACTGATCAGAATCGGCGTCGGTAAACCCGTTGACGTACCAATTACCTACCGAAACGGGCACCTTAAAAAAAACAGTAGGCTCGTTCAATATACCTGCACTTCTTGGTGCAGCTAAATTGCAGGCCGTGGTTCGTCGTAGGGCATGTCTAAGCCACTAAATGAGCTACGCTTAGAGTGTCAGCATTCTGTTTCCCGATGTTGTTGTGGGCACTGCCATCTTGATGCTTGGTAGAGAGCAGACTCAAGTGCCGATCGTCGCGATTCAAAAATACTACTTTATCGACATTTGATTCGGTGTTAGGAAGTTTGTGTAATGTTGCTTTGCTCCGTCGCAAACTGGTTAACATTTATGGGGGACGGAACAGCGTTTCCTGTGATTTCGGATAGAGCTTCAGATTACTGGCAACCATGATTTTAAGCCCCTTAAAATATTAAGTGTCATTACTCTGATGCATAGCTTATTTAGTGGCGCGAGGCACAACGAAGCATGGAGTGCTGTTACGCGAAGCTTGACGACGTGAAAATCGCAGACGCAAGCATTCTGTCTTTGAACGATCTCTTGCGTGTTTACATCAACGCAGACGGAGAACTTGAACCGCCCTTGAAGCCGGGCCAGGACACCCTCGAGCTCTTCAACTCTGACATCTGCCGGTGCGTGTTCGAATTGTCGACAGCGGGGTCTGCCACACGTGAAAAGAGATTGCATGTCTCTACTGCTGATTGCCAAAACTTGGTCTCTAGGAACTAGGAGTTTTTTCTAGGGGGTGCCTTTTAAACTTTCGGGTTTCCCCGGTGTTTCTAGGGAAGCTCGAGGTGCAACGAGCTTTCAAACTTTTTCGGCAGTCTCTGCACCTGGGTACAATTTTTTTTTTTTTTTTTCCTGTTTAGGTAGTATTTTAACAGGTCTGAGCCATTTACCGGTACGTAGCTATTGGACAAACACTCCCTATCATGTTTGAAATTAGTCTCCAAAGTCCTTTCCAGTGGCAGTCTCGAAACCAGGCAATTCACAGTGCATGCCTGGCTTTGAGAGTGGACGTCAGTGTTGCTTGATTGTGCTGGGCAGTTTTCGTACATGGGTGGCAACTGAATTGCTGCATTTTATTTTTTTTTTGTTGGCTTCGAGGCGAGAGCGTCGGCCTACGGATCCCCAGGTGGCGGGTTCGAATCCCGACCGAGGTGCCCGCAATATGACGGAGGCTTATTGCGGAGAAGGGGGGTGCAACCGAGCTTTCGGTTGCACGTCAAAAGATCCCCAGGTGGTCGAAATTAATCCTCAGTGCTCCGCTGGGGCGTGCCAGATGCCCGTCGTTGGTTTGGCACGTAAAACCCCCAAATTTGACTTGTTCTTTTTTTTTTTTTTTTTTTAGAGTGCAGCTCTTGGGCGGTTGTTTCCGCCCAAGAGCTGCACTCTAAAACAAACCGTAACCGTAAGCCCCCCCCCCCCCCCTGAGGACCTCGGGAAAAAGGGGGGGGGGGGGGTTCCGTGACCCCCCCGAGATCACGTGTCCCCCCTTCCCTCAGTACCTTTCCCTCTTCCCCCTCAAGAGCTGCGCTCTAATTCGGCGTTACAGGGAGTTGTAAACGGATTTCACTTTTTTTTTGTTTATGGCAAATACTACTTGCCATATTGATGGAGAAAGCATTCCAACATCTTTGGAAACAAAACTCAAAGCTATTTCTGCCGAGTCTGGCTCGACAGAATGAATGCAACTGGAATTTTTGTTTTATTTTGCGCACAGTTTTTATGCTACAAAAGTCTTAACCGTTAAAAATGTTTGACCACACAACATCCCCAAAAGGCATGGGTGTTCCTCGCTCACAAAATGAAATTCACAGTCTCGTCAATCGAATGACATATTGCACATATGACACGGTGCCGCGTTATTCAAACAGGGTTTATTTGAGAAAGATCTTAAATAACACAGCACTCTAATCTGCAGTGACGACGACAGTCACTTTATTAGAATCGGACGAAATTCAGACTTAGTTTAGGGCACTTTTCAGGAGAGCTTGTTTTTTTTGCAGAACACTGAAGCAAAGGAACTGAAATGTCTTATTTGTCCCCTACCCCGCACCCGATCAGCCATTTTTTACAAAGACCGCAAAGGTTTCCTGGAGATCATTTCAGCGGAGATAATCCTCGAATACTGTAAAAGACCTTTGTTGCGAGCTGTGCGACGTTCACTCTTTTCGTTCGTTTTTTTGCAAAGGTCAAGCACGCTACGAGTCCTGCTATTCTGCAGTTCTCACGGTAAACAATTATGCAAAAAGAGCAAGCATCCAGAATAGGCAAATAAAGTCGAAATTTTCAAGAAAGGCCGGCAAACTCTGAATGCATAACGGAGGTGGGGAGTAGCACTGACTAGGTTTCCACAGCCCATGTGCGGGTCGGAAAGCGCTGTCTGATGGGGTTCAGGAGAGTCGCGAAATGGCAGTGGCCTGAGAGCTCTTTCTGGAAAGGCCAATAGATTGTTTTCGTGCGATGGTTGCCACGTTAAAGTACAACAAATACTAAGCTAACTAGTTCAAGCATAACCACAATAGAAAAAGTATAGCAAGAAAACATGTAGAACTATTGGCACAGACTCCTTGAATTATGGCGCCTTCCAATCGGAAAATACTGATTTGCTATCTTAGCCCAACTCGGCTGCATCGGGATTAAACGTGGCAGCCGCCACAAAGGAAAGGTCTATGGGTTCCTAAATTACATAATTGGAACAGTGCAAGAGTGGATGGGCTTCAACTGTTATCAGTAAAAGAAGTGTTCTTCAAGATCAGAAGGTCCCAGAACCCTGGATCCAGTGTTTTGCCTAAAAGATGTACTACAGTGGACTCCCATTAAACGAAACTCGCTTAAACGGAAAATTCGGATAAACGGAACTCTAAAGGTTGTTTCGGTTGGTTTCCTATGTATTTAATGATAAATTCTTCGGGTAATCGGAACCCCCTTTTTGCTTACTTCGGTTAAACGGGACCGAAACCGAAACTACCCAAGGCGACCGCGGACATCGGAAATAGCTACAGCAGTCTCACAACCATGGAGTACGCAATAGCCAAGACTGAGGACACTTTAAAGGGAAAGGGGTTGTGTTAGAACAAAATTTATACAAATATTATTATAAAAAAAAAAAAAAAAAGTTGTTAGGCTAGGTGACGCGAGGTGCCGCTCGTTACAAAGGGTACGGTACAGCCATTCATCCATCCATCCAAGCCATTATATTAAGGCAATCCAATCCAGTCTTTCTACCGCCATTAGGGTTAGCGCCTCGTCTGTTGCGCGTCACCAACGTTGCGCGTCACGTTTACCATCGAGTACACAAACCAGCGTCCGCTTGCCGTGTTGTGATGGAAGCGGTAAAAAAGCGGCCGCACCAAGCGATCTCGCTTGCTACGAAAATGAAGATCCTTCAAGAGCTGGATCGTGGTGACCTCTCGAAGACGGAGATCGCAAGGAAGTTCGATATCCCGAAGTCTACACTCTCAAGGATATCAAAGGACAAAGAAAAGATTCAAGACGCTGTAAAGCGCGGAAGCTTTGCCACCGACCGAAGGAGGATGCGAAAGACGCCTTTTGAGGAAATAGAGAACGTCCTTTTTCTCTGGTTTAAGCGCGCGCGAAGTGCTAATTTCCCGATCAGCGGCCCCATCCTCGAAGAAAAGGCTGGAGAGATTGCGTCTCAGTTGGGAATAGATAACTTCAAAATGAGCGACGGTTGGCTCAGCCGTTTTAAAAAGCGCCACGGCCTAGTCTTTAAGACTATTTCTGGGGAAGGTGCAGCAGTCAACAGAAACCTTTGTACCTCCAAGGCATGCACACCTACTTCGTCAAAAAGCGATTACAAAATGCAAAACAAACTACCATTACCTCTTTTTTCTAGTCAGCTACATTAGCTGGACATCATGCTTGTGAAATAAAGTCATATTTCACTCATTTTATGTGCTTTGCTTTAATGAAACTTCTGATAAACGGAACAAATTTTTCTGTCCCTTCGAGTTCCGTTTAAGAGGAGTCCACTGTATTTTCTGGGGTTGTGGAGGCTATTTAGCATGAACAAACTGAATGCCATGTTTCAAAAGTTGAGATTGTTTCTTGTGTCCCTTTAATGTTCAGTTACCACCGCCTTTTCTTTTTCTAATTACAAAACAGGTCCTTTAAACTGGTGCGCGAGGGAACGGACAGCCTCTACGGCATCTCGGCAGTGAGGTTCCGCGTCGACAATCGCACCTTTGACAACGGCACGACGTACCCGCCCAACGCCTGCTTTGACACGAAGCGCACGATGGCATCTGGTGCTGTGGACATCGGTCCTTGCCAACACAGTAAGAGTTTTTTTGTTTGTCAACGCCTTCGGAGCGGTTTCGAGCTGGTCAATATTTTCCAGGGTACCGCGTCTCCTGCACAACTGCTACGGCGGCTAGATAACAGGTTATCTGAACAGATACCTTGTCCTGGGAATGGAATGACGAGATATGGCATGTCTGAGTCTTGCATAGAGGTGTTGTTAGCTTCAAGCTATTGCATTAAAGTTTTAGTCTTGTGCAGTGATGCCTCGCTAATGTGGACCCCTCCGTTTCCCACAAAAAGCGTCCATAATGAATGATGAGACAAAAATGCATGTATTGGTTCAGTTCGTCCGGGCCCGAAAATGCTGTCTATATAGCGGGTTACGCATATTAGTGGCGTTTGTATTAACAAGACATGACTGTATCAATTGATGTCGAGAACATAAGATAAGAGCCCGAAATACCCTGCCGTAGGCAGGAACTGTAAAAGGCAGCTTAAATGGTTGTTAACCTCTATTGAACCGTCTGGGCCAAAGCCCGGTAGCTTCAACATAATAGTTCTAGTTTTTTTACTTCTATTGCCACTAAAACTAGCATAAATTGTTTGGAGATCGAGTTCTTCCATTTTTCGGGGGGTCTGATTTTGGTCTAGGTGAAAGCAACAGCATTCTCGTCTGCTTATTGGACATGGCATCGCAGCTTCCTTCTGTTAGCGCATGATAGTCCAATGCGAACCATTTGACCCATTTGCGAGTCCACAATTGGGCAGTATTTTGGCGAGAGCGTCTCGCAACGTGCAAATGGCGCGAGAAGTCTTGCGGCATCTGGTGCATTTGTTCTTAGGTAGTTACTTTGTGCCCTCTCAAGGCAGTTACTTCTTACAAGATGTGAACCAGATTTTAGGGTTTTCTTCCAAAAAGATAGTACAAAAACAAGTCAGTGCCCAGTTTTTTTAACTATCTAACAGAAGCACATTAAGTGCTCTCAAGCTCTCCATATTGACAAGCATCGAATAAAACTATTGAAAGTTCTATCTGTCATTGCGGCGCGTCCGCCTCATTGACATCAACCTATCACATAGTTTCAGCAAACCTAAACACTGCAAATAAAACACCTACAGTTCCCCAAAGATGTAACGGATAGCAGCATCTCCTGGGATGAACGAGGTTTCACGCTAAGGCAGAAACTTTTGATGTTTGATTGCCTCCGGTCAATGTCAGCTTTGGCAGCAGAAAACTTCATGCTTCCAAAAAAGAAGCATGAACTTCCAGTGGCTCCCAACATGAAATGGCTGGCAATCACAATTTGAGCCTGCATTCAACCTATTTTCACTGTGGCATCTGATTCGGGGACAATCCACTTCCTTATTGGGTAGCGAATGGTGTTTTCTCATGTTATTTTCGGCTGGAAATGGAACTTCGTGATGGACAAACCACGTCATATGCTCGTATTAGCTGTCGAACCATCTGCAGACGCAATTTTAGCTCGCTTTGCGGAAGGCAAATTAGATCTCTCTCTCGCTGTGGCCAACATCATACCCCATGTGTCAGAAGCAAGGCATAACTTGACAACATCCATGACTTGGCACGGATGCAAGCAATCAAGAGAGAAGCTTTGTCTTCTTCCGTAGCAGACGAGTTATGTGGTGCCGCACATTAGGTGGATCGTTTCAAAACTACAAATCTCCGTTTTTCTGCAGACCTGCCCGCTGCCCTCTCCTTCCCTCATTTCTACCTGGCAGACCCATCCTACAGCGACAAGGTGGAGGGCATGAAACCGGACCCCGATCGTCACAGCTTCACTTTGGACATGGAACCTGTAAGTTGTCTCGATTGCGAGGTCAGACACTCTTTTGCGCTATGGAGGTTGTATTTTGCGACGTGTGGATCATGTCGGTTAAACATATGTGAACGTGTGTGCTCTTAAAGGCTCATTTCAGGCTCTCGCGACTTAAGATGTGGGCCTTAAGATCTTATCACATCATTTTCTTTCTTGGCTCGAAAGACTTTTATCAGTGTTACAAACCACGCTTTCCTGTCGATGTTACATTTGTTTTAACTCACAAATATTGCATGATCTTCGCGCTAATGAAACGTGAATCCTCAGTCTCCACATGGATGCAGCGACTGCGGGAGGAGTCTCTGCCAAGCGGGTGTGTTTCTTCGTGAGAGAAGAGAGGGTTGTGGTGTGTACGTGGCCTTCAGTAAGCATGAAACTAACATTTGGAAACATTGTAAAAACAAAATATCAACATCAATTCTGGTGCTAAGGCCACATCGACCTGAACATTGCAAGCAACACTGTTCAATCTGCCATATTTTGGGGAGGGGAGAGGGGGGTTCGTTTTTTTTTATTTGCCTTTCTTTTACATTTTTATTTTTTGGGAATGCCAACGTTAATTTTATGCAATTTAAAAAATGTTTGAAATTTTTTTCTGTTCGGAACTTTGTTTCTTTTCCTCTAAATCACTATGTGTGGTTGGACAAATGTTGACAGTGTTATAGGAGGGATGCTTTCAGTCTTTTGCGAAGGGAACTTTATGTTCCGTCGGGGCTCAAATTGTTTACGAGCCCAAGACACGGGTTACAGTTTTTGTGTGTGCTTGAATGTTATTGTTTATGTCGCCATTACTTCAACTTTTGTTCTTTCCTCTTTATTTTCCAGAGGCTCGGTCTCTCCCTCAAAATAAATGCGCGCATTCAAACCAACTTCATTCTCGAGAGGGACCCACTGATTAGGTGAGCATGTACTCATCGCCTCTTGCGTTCCCTTATGCTGCGTTGCGTTGCACTGTGGCACTCCCCATCTGACCGGGGGCATTATTATTTGACCCGCTCATTTCTGTTTTTTTTTTTTTTTGTAGGAACTTGAGAAACATTCCAGAGCTGACCTATCCCATCCTGTGGCAAGATTTGGTAAGCCTGGTGCCATTTAAAGTAGGCGTCACACCTGCAAGAATGTTTACACAAGTTCACGCCATGCTACATTTTGCCGCACACTAAAGCAGCACACATGGGCGTATGAATAGAACCGACCGCTTTGCGACTGTTTGTGACACCACATACCACTAGTGCCATCTATCGAGTAGCTCCGAAACACCTCAAATCTGCACAACTAGACCGAAGAATTTGCAGTCTGTGAGGTCAAATGTATGGTTGCTTATAAGGTTGTCAAATTTAAAGCCACCAAATAAGGTACGCCTAAAGTATTGGCACCTTAATCAGATTTTTTTCTTGCCATCAATTTTTTTTTAGTATAGAGTGATGATCGGTACGATAAAAGAAATATGACCTCCCGAACTTTCGATTTGGTGTTGGGTTGCTGGGGTGATATTGTTTTGCCTCATCACGGACTGTTCCAACAATTCAATAGAATGAAAAACCATTTCTTGGGATTTCAGATAAAGCTAGAGTTAGTGGCAACAACGATTTTGCTCACCAAGATGGCCGAAGGGTCGTTACTCAGAAGCGGAGCTTATTTAGAAGCTCTAGTCGTAATTATTTTAAGCCCAAAGTGAAAGAATATTGTGTGAAAAGTGGGGCAATATATGTTTCAGGGTGATTCGTAGATGGTGTCGGTACATCCTGTCGTAGACGGTCGCAAGCCTCGGGGATTTTTTAGAGGGAAAGTGCTTGCATTCCAGGGGTGCAATACACAGCAGCCAAGATCAAAGCACGGGGTTCATGCATGCAGCGGAGTATGTTCATGTTAGTGGTGTTTTATATGTAGGCCGTGGAGCTGGACCAAAAGTTTGCGGACCACCTGAAGTCTCTCATGGACAGACCGCTGTACTACAGCTTGCTGTTTTCGTATCTCCTGCTGGGCTTCGGGGCAATCATGGTGCTCGCTGTGGCCGCCTTTGTGGCGGGCAGGGCACTCCAGAGGTTTTTGTCTCCAGGCGTAAGTAGACTCTCCTCGAGGTCGTGTGCCTTCTTTCAAGGTAGCAGTTGGTTCTCAGAGCACTGATAAACTCAATCAGCACTGATAAACTCAAGAACAGCGTTTGCAAGTACCGAATTGTTGAGATTCCAACTGAGGTCCACCAACATTGAGAGTATTCCCAGTAATTTTCACTAGTTTACACTGCATAGTTAATTTTTTATAAATTATTTTCTGTCCACCGAAGCTAACGAAAAGGTAGGGTTTGGAGCACTTTGAACGGATTTTCTCCGTTCCACTTGTTGGTATAAATTCCACTTCAGTCAATCTATCGTTTGATAATGGCAATACAGGGAAGGTTTGTTCTTCACTTTTCCTGACTGAAATTTAATAACGAATGGGGCTGTGGAATTCTGCTACATATCTGGCGAATAAAAATCTTAAACATCGCCATAGTTTTCCGACGATAGATTAACTAGACAATGTAGGCGTGTGCCCGATAAAAGCTGCCCTAATTTCCTTCCCACATAACCGACAGACATGAAATTTTGTTATGCACCCTCTAGCATGACCACCATCCTGCCCTGTAAATTTCATTAATGTTAAGCCAATGGTTCGAAAGGTGACCCTCCTAGGGCTTGTGTCCTCTTAGGAGATCTGTAGTGGATCAAGTGGAATAGAAGCTTGGCTAGATGGGGCCGTGTATAAAACGAGCTGTGCATTCTTCCTTTCAAAAAGAAAATGTGAGTCATGGCTTTTCTTTTTTTTTTTTCTTCTAGACTGTGGGTTTGTCAAAAAGCACATTGAGGTGCTCTAAAGGAGTGAGTTCTCATACTTTAGGGTAAAGGATAGAGAGCATTCTCGAAATTCCAACTAAGTTTGGAGCACTGCAATGATCATTAATTAGTCTCTCGTTCTAAGGTTGTCTTTAAAGTGTGTTCATCTAGTTAAAGAAAGTTGACTTTTGATCAATAAATTGTTGGAGGGGGCAGGGGCCATTGACCAATTTTACGGTTTTAGAGTTTCAGTAATAATGCAACTTCATATCGTAAAGGGCTTGCATCGTCGTCTTCATTCCTTCATTCAAGCTCTTGAGAATTCATGCGAAGACCTGTAGTATAGACACGGTTCATGGCCGCTTAACCCCTTTTCATAAATCGTTTTCTTCATAGGATGACGATTCATCGCTCCTGATCAACGACGACGACAAGGTGGATGAACCGAGCGACAAGGAAAATGGCATTATTCACGGGTAGTGCAAGATCAGTGAGGTGTCCGCAAGAAGGAAGAGTGCTGCGGTGTGCTTAGCACCAATGACCGAACGCTTTTGGTGCTTGCACATGTGGTGTCGTGGAAATGAAAACATTGACTCCTAGTCCTGTTTGCTCTCCAACAAGTGAAAGTGAAGTTTCCATTTTTAACTTTCTAAGGAATTCCTCGCAGGCGCGACAATATTTTGTTTTGTTTGTTAGACTGTGCGTGATTGGGCAGGGACCGATATGCCACTTTTGCTTCGGTATATACTTATGAATGACTAAGTTTTGCTTAAGAAATGTTTTATCCGATGCTGCCTCGGAATGCCAGTGTGCTGTTGACGCGTTTCCAGTGTGATTCAGTTCTTTGAATCGTTGCAAGCAGTGCCTTTGTGTACATTCGATTTTTCTACTTCTATACGATGCGTTTCTAGGAACAGAGGTAAGTCGTGCTTTTGAAATGTGTGTTTTGTGACAATGAATGGCCTTGTTGTTTGCTAGGCCTTTTAAACATGCTCATTCAGACTTTCAGGGTCAAATGGTCTGGGTACTTTGGGACGATACGACTGATGTCTGTTAGTCAGTCAATGTGAATAAATGAACTTGTTTTGTACATTGATAGTTTTGTCATTTGTAATGCAGCCTTTCGAAGTTTGAATAATTAGCACTATTACAATCTGGGATTCCTTATATTGCATGCCAAAGCATTGTTGGGGAAAGAATAACACAAAGGGATTTTGTGAGTATTAAACAAACATATCACCTCTTGAAAAAAACCAAGTTTATTCACATAGTAATTTACATGCAGCACACAGTACACGCAAGATTCGTTTGAGAAAAAGAAAATGACACGGTATTTGAAACATTAGTTTTGATAACTAATCTTAAATGTGTATACATATTTCTTAATTCACCGCAAAGAGGTTTTGATAACTAATCTTAAATGTGCATACATATTTCTAAATTAACCACACAGGAAGAATTCAGTATCACAAATCATTGCGTGACTGGTCACGTAATGTAAAAGCGATCTGTGGGATATAACTTGTCTGTGCACTTTCTGGTTTAACTGAAAAAGAAAATCTGCTGGTCACGAACATACGGAGTGAGTCAAAACCGAAAAACACCTATGGTTGATGTTTTTGCCGTGACTAAAACTGGGAAAAAAAAGGGTTAAATCTTTCTGCCCTGGCGACGGCTCTTCTAAACTGATTATAATGTAATTAAATGCAAAACCTGTTCGCTCTACTGACGTCTAACCCCTGGTTGGCACAGTTCGTAGGGCGCTCCACTGAAAGTGTAGGTCCCGGGCTCGATACCCGGACCGGGCGGATTTTTTCGGTAGTGTACCAGTCGCCTGGCTGTATTTTGAGATTTCTGTTTGTCCTTTGTCCCTCTTGTTCCCCTTCTCCGGGGATTATTTTCGGCATTCTTTTAAACTCTTCCCCCGTAAAGGGTCGTCAAACGTGTTATCTCTTGGATCTTGCTGTGGTTCTTGGAAGATACTGCCAACATCAGTGTCGCTCAGGGTCACTAACCTTGGAGGACACGTCTCGTCGCCTGGAGAACAGAGATGCATTCATTATTATATGTTCTGTTTTCAAGGGCTTCCGGGGCTTGGAGTTCGGTTTGATGTCGCGCTGTCTTGGGTTCGCTGGAACTTCCCACAGTAAAGCGCACATTCTGGCTTCTCAAGTTTCGATAACAATAACAACCAAGAAACAAGATGAAGCTGTGCTTTTACGCCCACGCGCGGGGACGTAGCCTCGGCCATATATAAAAGAAAAGAAAAAAAAACATTCGACGTGTTCATTGAGCTGTTTAAAATAATGAACCTCGATTACTCAGTGTGCCGGCATTTATTCAGGTTGACTAAAAGTGTCCAGAGCCTCATTTTTTTTTCCCCCATTGATAACCTTTTTTTACGATCCGGAGGTACTTTACGTAGAGTCTTCATCTCATGGTAAGCTATCGCCCCCTGAATTAAGAAGCATACATCTGAATCTAACAGCAGCCGATATACGAAGCGGTCGACTCGTGCTTGTCAGATGTGCAGAACGTCTAGTTGAAAACCACAAATTGCGCCAGCAAAGTGAAACACCGTGCGAATAAAGACAACTCCCGCGGTATGCGCGGCTTCGCGTTTGGGTGGCCACTTTGAAATGTAATCGCCGCCGTACATGTACGACGATGACCGTCAAAAGAGTAAGCTGGAAGCAGCCGTCTAGCGTATAGGAGGGGTCCATACCACGGGCGAATGTCGTTTTAGCGCACAGCGACATTTGAGCGAATCGACGTTTTAGCGAATAACGGGGGCGCGCGTTAACCCATCCGCCGCGCTGCGCTTACGCCGCATCGCGGCGATAGTCTGCGGCGTTTCATTAGAAAAATGTGAACCCATTTGGCCCACCCGAAAACGCCCCTCCGCGGCGTCCGACTATTCGCTAAAATGTCATTCGGTGAAACGTGGGCGTTCGCTAAAACGTCATTCGATCAAGTGAGTGCCTCCCGCGTAGGAGTCTGTCGAGAAGGGTGACGTATGAACAGACTTGTTAATAACCGCTTTCTGCAGCAGCACAAAAAACAAAAGTACGTTTGAAGGAAAACATTCTCCAGTTCATTCGGGGGATTACGAGCAAAATATTTTTCACCCATTCAGGAAACTGGCGACGGGGATGGGGTTATCAGTTCACCTGGCGACGAGGATGGGATGTGTCCATTACGTCATGTACTGCCATCAGCAGCGATTTTTAGGGGCGATTTTGGTAGACGCGAAACATTTTCCACAAACCTCGCGGACGCCCAGCGGCCCAACACACGGCAACTCGACGAACGACAAAACAACAGCGCACCGACGACCGACGCGCCTACGTAGCTGTTCGGCGATGATGATGATAGTTCGTGTGGCGCCATCTGTTAGCGCTTCCCGTTGCTGTGAGAATCGCTTGACTGTGTGTTGTCTGGGAGTGCGCAAGCGACAAAAATGAATAAAATATTAAAGGACGCGGAGACCCTTGCATTGTTTAATTAAGAGATATACTCCTACGACCATCGGATCCTGTTCATAGTTTAAATTTTGGCGATAGCTGTGGAAACAGAGGCGCAAAGGTGTTTCTGACGAACGGCTCACTGCGCATCGCGCCTACCCCGTCCCGAAGTGGACCGGATTTCGACCATGATGAAGCATACTTACCTGGTGCCGGGGCTACCTTGATCAACGAGGAGGTGCCTCCAGGGAGAGGCGCGGCCATTGCACCTCGGCTGTGCTGACCCCTGCCACTATCCCAAACTGGGACAGATGGGGCATGCAATTTTTGGTAGTGGGGGACTGCGTTCGCGCTATCCCCCTACATTGAAATCCAAAAAGAGATGACATATATTTAGAAGTGACACTTTAGCGTATAGTGGGCCGCCGCGAAACGGCGTTTACGGGTGGGCAAGTGGATTCACATTTTATTAATGAGCCGCCGCAGCGCTAGGGAGTAGTTAAACGCGCGCCCCGTTATCTGCTATAGTTGATTCGCTCAAATGTCGCTGTTCATTAAAATGTCTTTCGATGTGACCGATGTTTATAGGCTTCACAGCATCAGGGGAAACCAAGACCTATAGACCGTTTTACTGAAAAAGGGCGAGAGAGAAAAGGGGAAAGGGCTACCGGCGCTTTCCCCCTCTCTGATTGTGTAGAAAGAGTGAGAGTCCCGGATGAGAGGCTTGGCCGGTGTTGGGTGTCTGCTGTGCCCGAACTTCGTTCGCGCTTTCTTTCCTGTTTTAAACTCGCAAACTTAATTAGAGCCAGAGGCTTCAATGGCAACAGTCCCCCGGTCATCGGGACACTATTGCTGGGTCATAGGGTGCAGGAATAAGAACAGAAAGCATAGAATACTGTCCGAGGACCTATGTAGCTTGCAATGAATCCGGCAAGGCCAGAGCGGCTGCAATGTCTCTGAGCTCCATCGCTTTCCACATGACCCCTGTCTCCGGCGGCAGTGGATTGCGTCCGTAAACCGAAAAGGCGTTTCCTCAACGCCATCATCTCTACTTCGCACGGAACATTTCGTGAATGGAGCGCGCACCGAACGCTGTACCGCCGATGAACATGGGGTACGCTCGCAATGTGCGTGCGAGTTTTCTCATGATAACTGCTGTTTCAGCTTGTAAAATTTCGTAACTGAATTTATCTTAATAGTGATAATTTGCAGTGCTGACTGACTCGGTTTTATCATCTACAACACTTAGTTGAAGGCTCATTTCCGCCGCCGGGTGAGGCTGGAAATTGTTGAAAACGTAGTTCTATTGTTTGTTTGTTTTTTAATCGCGATCTCCTGCGCGATACCAGAGAGCCGACAAAAGCGCTCCTTGAAGTGCCGCTGGAGGGTTGTTTCTGTTGACTTAGGCGCTTTGAGGCGCTTGATAGTCGCTGCAGGAACGTCTCGTGTGTTGCGATCTGCGTTTTCGAGCCCAGAGTGCACGTTTCTTTGTTTGAGTCATGGCATCCGCCAGTGTGGCGACGGGGGGAACAGCGGCAGCGAACGTGCCAGCTATAGAAATTGGAGGTGAGAACCGAAAACATTGCATCAAATAGTAAGATAATTCGTGGCTGCTTCGAGGCTTTCTGCGGTTCGATAAAAGTACATCTGGAGCGTCTTCGTCGTTCATTCACCAGGAAATATAAGAACAGGGACACGAAGATAAAAACAGCAGAGCAGGACGATATGTAGCAGCTCCGGGCGTTTACAAAGTTAATTGAGGTTCCCGTTTCGTGTATAACTTGTTGATTACAACTAAAAGCGACTAAGTTGAAATAGGCCCATTGCAAGCAAAAATGTATAAATGGTTCATCATTTCCAGTCATGCGGAAAGCAATGGAGCTTAAAAACATTCCAGCCGTACTTGCCTTGCCGGATTCCATGCAAGCTACATAGGTCCTCGGGCAGTATTCGACGCTTTCTGCCCTTATTCGTGCGGGGGACTGTAGCCATCGAAGACCATGACTCTAATTAAAGGACCCATGAAACGAATTTTGGGCTGGAGTAAATCAATTTATATTGGGATTTTACTAATAGCACATCGTTCAGTGGGCCAAAAGAACAAAGGTAGAAAGTCAGAAGCCTGACTTTTGCTACAAAAATTTGCGAAACATAGCGGACTATTTCGTACCTCCTTCCCTTCGTAAACTCTCCGCCTTTTCACTGTGATACATCCGCGGACCCCGCAGCGTGTCACCGGGCTACTATACTCCGTTTCACCTTCCGTCCGAGCACAGCGGACGCTAGGAGCCATCCCAGCCAATGCGGCGTTGAGGGAGTGTCATGCGACCTTGAGCTCCCTGTGTCGCCCCACCCCACCGGCAGGTCACGCGACTTTCTCCCGGCGCTGGATCGGCTGGGATGGCTCGTGGCGTCCACTGCGCTCGGACTGACGGTGAAACGGAGTATAGCCACCATAACCGGGCCCCCGCAGCGCGTCACCAGGGCCCAAGCGCACGTCACACGACACCGGACCTCACTTAATCCCTTTACCCCTAAGCTGACATTGCGGTGGAAGCTACGCGCTTGCCGGACCAATCAGCCGCCTCCCTTTCATCACCTGACCTCATTCTCTGCGGGTCGGCAT